TTACAAGAGTTAGGCAACTACTCAGAGACGTTACATTCAGATAATTTGAAGAAGAAAAATCAACTTGCAAGAAATACTGAAGTTCTATTGTACCAATATCTGCAATTGCAACATTTTTCAAACCACCATCTTAAAGGTAAACCTGAGCAGAAAATTAACAGTGAAAAATTACTTGTCACTATTATGAAACACAAGGATCTACTTTCCACCCTATATAAAATTATTTTCAGTTTTTGCTTAGAGGAAACACACTTTTCATGAAGAGGTGGAATGCAGATTTGTGCAAGGAAATTAAGGATGAGGATTGGGAGAGTATTTGGAACAGCAGTCCCTATACCTCAATATACACATTCATAAAAGAAGACTATGTTAAAGTCCTCTATCAGTGGTACCTAATGCCTGTTAAACACATCTATGGTACAGGCATGGGCAAATGCTGAAATGAGTGTTATGAAGTGGGCTGGTTTCTTCATATGTGGTGGATCTGTCCAAAAATTCAGACACTTTGAAAAAGAGGTTGGAAACTCCTTTAAGGAGATGACAGGTGTTTTTGTGAATTTTCCCCAAAAGTTCTGTGCTGTATAACAGACACAAAGAAACGATTACCCATTTGATAGTTGCAGCAAGAATCATAGTTGTTAGGTGGTGGAAGAGATGTGACTCCTCTAAATCAATTGACTCGTCCCAGAAAGTATGGGAAATATGAGTATTAGAAAAGCTGACCCATCAAGTCAAAGTTCTACAGGGAAGAAGATAAAAACTTGGCGGAATTTCCCTGGAGAGAATCATCCCTCATCATGAAACCTGAGAGACTGAGAACTTTTTATTTTTAATATTGACGAAGGAGAAATTGTTAAACTGCCACCTTACTAGTTTGCCACCGCCCTGTTGTTACAGACTCATGAAGACCAGGCTATGTATTGGAACTATTGTGTACACAAAACATATTCTCAATAGAATTGTTAAGTTAGTGCTACAGAAATATTTCTGTTAAAATGTATTGCCTCTGTTGCTTAAGACCCTGCTTCCACTTCCACAAATGATCTTTAGAAAAGAACTTGTCATAAAAATTGGTGTTCATCATCCATCTGGGTGTTTATATGGCCCCCCCATCACCATCTGTTCATTAATGGTTCTGAAGTTATCCCTCACATCCCTATGAGGGAGGAAAATAATTGTCCTTATTTTACAAACAAGGAACTGAGGCAGAGTTGGTGACTTGCTCAAGCTCACGCAGGGAGCCAGTACCAAAGCCATGAACTGAACTCAGACCCACCCAAATCCCATGCCTTAACCCTGTGACCATTCTTCCATCATAGAGATGCATACTGTATAGCTTCCACCCACCTATTTATGTATATCAGTATTTAAACTTGATAGTAGATATGCCAGTTCATTAAAGTGCCTATTGTTCCCACAATAAACTAATTTGCATTAGTAAGATAAATGGATAATTCCAATGTTTTGCTGGAATTCCAGTCTCATTTATTATTGTAAAATATCCTAAATTGGCCTTCTAAAAATATTTTATTGAACATTAAAAGTAAAACCATAATTCTGAAATAATACAGAGGATGGCATTTTGGCATGAAGTGACAGTAAGTTGTAAGGAAATTCTTGGGCCTTCAGTTCAACGATCAGGAAAAGCAGTTGATTTGGAAGGTTGATACTAGGTGAGATGCAACGTCTATTGCATTTTTTCCTTTAAGCATAGCTCTAACATGAAAAGTGCTTCCTTTTTCTGCAGATGTTTACTGGGATTTTTAAATAGAGTACAATGCAGAGTGTTAATAGTTTCTATGTAGCATCTGAGGCTAAAGCAACTGCAGGTGTTAACTGGGTGACAGATGCATAAAAATACACAGCACAAAATTTGCAGTAAAGTCAAATTAAGACAGGTTGTTAGAACAATATACTAGGGGCTAATCCAAAGCCCACTGAAGTCAATGGAAAGACTCCAGTTGACTTCAGTGGGCTTTGGATCAAGGCTGGGAAGAAATCAATGTGTTGAAACTTACCTGAAAACACCTTTCAAAGTGCCCATTCATTGAAGTAGAGTGAGATTCCTCTGCTGCTTCTGTCGCTTCCTGCCAAAATGGTAGTTGTGACACTGCACCCCATATTCTTCGTAGTGATACTATTATGATACGATTATAGGATAATTATGATGTATCTTATGCAAGATAAGTCATGTGAAGTGTCATTGGAAAGATTATGATTTGCTGAATATGATTATCTTATTTGTATGCATGTATCATTTTTGACAGGTTTCAGAGTAAACAGCCGTGTTAGTCTGTATCTGCAAAAAGAAAAGGAGGACTTGTGGCACCTCAGAGACTAACCAATTTATTTGAGCATAAGCTTTCGTGAGCTACAGCTCACTTCATCGGATGCATACTGTGGAATTTCCACAGTATGCATCCGATGAAGTGAGCTGTAGCTCACGAAAGCTCATGCTCAAATAAATTGGTTAGTCTCTGAGGTGCCACAAGTCCTCCTTTTCTTTTTATGTATCATTTTTGTATTTGAAGTTATAAATGACTATGTATCTGTACTTCAAATGTAGTTACACCTGGGTAATGCCCACTACACAAGATGCTTTCAGTCGAGATAGTGGGTGGGGAAGGGTCTATTAAGGATAATGGGCCATCAGGAAAAACAATAGGCCTTAGGAGAAGCTTATCCCCCACCTGGTGAGCCTTCCTGAGAACAGTCCAAACAGCCTGTAAGTAATGGCTACTGTGACTCTACAAGGACATGTGACCAGGCCACATGATTCTGGACTCCATCTTGGGATGTCAGTATTTTCCCACAAACCGGACTGGGAACCGAATTTTGAAACAAAGGGTTCCCGTCATATGCTTCAGCTATATAAGGCAGGGAGTGACATCATCTGGGGTTCTTCACTCCCCACACAAAAAGACTCCTGGAAACACCTGAGGAGCAAAGACTGAACTGAGGAAAGTGCTGGACCCAGGCTAAAGGGATTTCTAACCTGTGAATGAAACACCTGGGGATTCCAAGTTGTAAAGCAAGTGCAGCTTGCCCCTTAAGAATCTGCAGCCTGCTTGTATCATCTCTTAGGGAGAGAAACTGCTAATTCATATCCAATCTATTTAGTATATTAAGCTTAGTTTGTGTTTTTTTGTTTATTTGCTAGGTAATCTGCTTTGATCTGTTTGCTATCACTAAAAATCACTTAAAATCTGAACCTTAGTAGATAATAAACTTATTTTATGTTTTAATCCAAACCAGTGAGCTTTGACTGGAGCGCTTGGGGAAAATCTCTGCTTGGTTACTATTGTTCTCTTCACATTGAGGGAGAGGTGGATTGGGTATTAAACCCAAATACTGGCCAGATTTGACCAGAGCAGGACAGTACTGCTATAGGGTCCTAGGCTGGGAAGCTGGTGGTTAGAGAGCCTGCATGTAACTGCAGCTGGGTGAGTCTCTACCCGTGTGAATGCTGGTGAAAGTGCAGGCTGGAGGGCTTTGCAGCTTGTTACAGCAGCACAGTGTGAGAGGGAGCCCAGGCTGATGGGTGAGAGGGCTCAGTGGTACCCAGTTCCACATGGCCCCCTGCGGAGCAAAAGGTTAGAACTATTGACTACCTTTGGATATATTAGAACTGCCATAGGTATTTCTCAAAAAAAAAAAAATTGCTATGTGAGGATTTTAAATTTTTTAAAGATATTTATGTACCTTAGCAGGGCTTAATTAACAAAACATCAGTGACTTTTCCATTAAAAACATTTTCTTTAAAAACTTCTCTTAAGAGGAGTCTGCTTGTTAGTGCCCTGAATAGGTAGCAACTTTATAAAGTGTCTAGGCTTGCAAGTTTTGGCCCGATGACTGGCAATGAACAGTGAGATTACAACAACATGAACTTTTCGATAAGTTTTCTATTCTTTTACTGCTTCCAAGATATTGATCCATGGTTGTCTTCAGTTCCTACCATATGAGAGACTGAATTTGTAAACTCTGCCCTTGAGGCCAGCAGAGGCTAAGATGTCACTGCTCAAGGGAAAGGCCTTTCATTTAAAGTTTGGAGGCCCAATGCCTCTGACATTCTGGGGTTCACCCAGGACAGTAAAGGGTTCAGTCGTCTGCCTTGTAGCCCTGGGTGTCTTGTGACTGTGCAGCTTTCGTTCAGAGCTCTCACCTCAGCAGCCTGCCAGCAGGCCACAAGCCTCACCTTGGGTTTGCCCAGCTTGGATACTCCTTGCAAGCTGACCTTAGTACCTTTCCAAGCCTGAATTCACCCCAAAATCTTCCTTCTTCAGGATCCGGTTCCTCTCATTAGACCGTCTCAGAGAAAGCATTAGATTCGCTGCCTCTACAGAGACAGTAGAACGTTCCAACCTGCCAGCTTAACACAGTCATACACTTTACTGAACGGTACCCGCACTGATGATTTATAATGACAGCAAAACACATTTATTAACAAAAGAGGATGGATTAAGTGATGCCAAGTAAAAGGAATAAAGGTAGAGATGGTTGCAAGCAAATAAAAGTGAACACATTCATCTAGAAGTCTAAAACTTAATCTGGCAAGATACACTCTTTGTTCAAGACAGTTTCTCTCTCATCCACTGTCATCTTTCCAGATTTTTACTGGCTTGCCTGACCAGGACCCATCACAGAGATCAAATTGAGCTGTGCAGTCACAAGACACACAGGATTACAAAGCAGGCGTTGACTGAACCCCTGACTGGCTTGAGTGAACTCCAAAATGTCACAGCCCCCAACTCTTGTAACCTTTAAAATAAATCACAACTATCAGCGATCTTGGCAGAGACAGCTGACCATGAATGGGGACAAAGATGTGTCATGGCCATCTTCCTATTGCCCTCTTTCCCTAAAAATAATAATGACAATCGAAAGGTTAATATAAAATGGCTGAAATACCCTGCAAATACTTAGGTTAAATGGTCAAAGTAAACATTACGGGTGATTTTTGAAACCTATATTAATTAAAATACTATGGCTTATGCTTTCAGAGTACGAAATAGAGAGATCGTTTTTTCTCCGGATGAAGTGTGTCTTGGCTAAGAGGAATGCAGGCTTGACATGTAGCGGCTATAAGGTAACATGCTGAAGCCTTTCCATGTTCAAAGAGTAACAGGTTTTATGATATGGATAGCTGTAAAACAAAGTCTGCTACTGAAAAGAGTCAGAATGCCACCACTGGGTGCAGATTTTCTTATTAATGCAACAGTACTCCCTGAAACTATGGGCCAGATTTTGATACCCATGCTCATGCTGACTAGTACCTAACTCCACAGGTAGTCCCATTGATTTGAATGAGATTATTCCCTGTGCTGTTCAGGATGAGTAAGGGTATCAGAATATGGCTCCATGTGCCTGTATATCTCAGTTCAGGATTGATGTCTACCACAGTCTCAGGTTTATTTATCAACCTCTTAGCATACATTGTTTTAATAGTTACTGCACTTGAACATGGGTGATGGTAAATACTGTAATCCTACATGAGCACCTGCCATTCAAGCATATATTTTCAGCTTTACTTTGTGCATTTATTCTCCCATAAACTAAACAACATATTTCTACTACCTAAGCAGCAGCTGAGAAAGGCACCTTACACACAGTTCTACTGAAAATAAATGACTTATTCAATAGCAAGAGAAAGAACACCTCAGAGTGACCTGCTGTTGTTTTAGAATTCTTCCAAGGTGCAGACATTTACCTCCCCTTTTAAAGTTGAACAGTTATTCCTGAAAGTGTAGTTCTGGCTGGTCAACTGTCCTGCAGTGTACATTGTTCTAACCCATAATTTATATTGAAGCAATTTTTTAAAAAACTGAGTAGGTGGTGGCATCCCTCTGTTTTTCTTCTTAGATTACAATTTGTCAGGAAGCGGAGTCATGTGCCATTTTTCCTCCTTGAAGTCCTATTGCCTGGTTACCGTGTATATTGTTTAAAGATGTGATTTTCTAGAGCGCTCAGCATTGCCTTAACTCTGCTCTCATCAGTCAATGACTTAAAGGTTAGACCAATGCTGAGCACTTCAGAAGGTACCACCTGAATAGCCTAAGTGCAAGGGAAACCAAATATGCCTAATTGTGAGGGAATGAGGAGGCTCTGATGGGAGATTTTAAGTACATTATCACTGGGTTATTATTGACTATCATATAAATTAATGATTGAATGGGGAGCTTTAAGAGGAATCTATTTTTAGAAATATAGATAATGGATTGCCAAGAATTGCTTAAGGCAGTGGACACACGCTCCTTTTTACTGGAAGAATGTACAAGTCAAAACAAAGGAAATATACAAATAAACTGAGGGATATATAGAATGTGGTTTTGATACTTGTGGAGTTTCCCACATGATATTTGGACTGAGCCTTGCAAGAGAGTGCATAGCCAAATAGTAGCTGTTACAAACTAAGAATATTTATGTTCCTCAGAAGAGTTTCTAAGAGCATTTTGCACTTACCTTTGTTGCCCCAAATCATTATTTATTCCTTCTTACAGTCAAGTATCTAAATTTTAGCATCAGATATGCACATGCAACTCTCATGGACGGCAACTGGAATTATGTACATGTATGTCCAACTAGAATTTGAGCCTTCGACATTGGCATTGTTAATTTGTCCACAGGGATCATCTAATCCTGACTGGAAAGAAGCAACGCTTTTAATGTGTCTAAATAGATATTTAATCATTTATAATTAGGGCTACATTCATAAGTCTCTTAAAGTGTATCTGTTTTCATCATAATGAAGAACAAATTCAATAGGAGTAGTTTTGATACATCAAACTGGCTGTTAAAGTATAGCTTGGAATATGTATGTCTGTTGCATGATTAAGTCACCATCAACGGCAAATTTCAGTTTATTTGGTTAATGCACAATAACTATCTTATTGTATCTATATTAAATGTATATTTTATAACCTAAATTTAAAGCATTAACTGGAGAGCAGTCCATATGGCACCAGGGCCCTTGCATTTTAACACCAGATTACTATGTGCTGGTGACAGAAACACAGGTTCACAGCATGACTGCATCTCTACTTACAAATAAGACACTTAGCAGCCTTAAACTATGCAGACAGAGAAATGGTGTTAAGAGAAATTGTTTATATCACCATTGAAATAGGTGCAGCAGAGGCTGAGAAATAGATGCTCTCAAGATGCTGTCTTGACCTGTAAGACCTCTTCCTTTACCTTCAAATATTTACTGTGCTTTCTTTCCATGCCAGGTGATCCACTGCAGTGGCTATTTGAAGATACGTCAGTATATGCTGGACATGTCCTTGTATGATTCCTGTTACCAAATTGTAGGACTGGTGGCTGTGGGTCAATCTTTACCTCCCAGTGCAATCACTGAGATCAAGCTTCACAGTAACATGTTCATGTTCAGAGCAAGTCTGGACTTAAAACTTATATTCCTAGATTCCAGGTAAGCAAAATGATTTGGTTTCCATCATATAGCATCGAGAAGTTAAGTTTTGTCAAACTATAGGGGTTTCTAAATACTTCAATACACTTCATTTTTAGGTGTATTTTAACTATGACATCATTAAAATTGAACTTGAGCACGGTAAAAGTATGCGGAACTTTCAAAATGACTCAGTAAATAAGGCAATGTTTTATCTTTAAAGTATCAAGCCTACGGAACCTGATTCTAACCTATAGTTACATGTGTTATGGTAATGTCCAGAGGCCTCAAGGATAGATAAAAGGTGGGGGAAAGGAAGCATTATTATGCCTGTTTTACAGGTAGAGAAATGAGTCACAGAGAGATTAGGTGACCTGACCAAGGTAACACAAGAAATCCATGGCAGAGATGGGAACTGAACCCAGTCTCCCAAGTCCTAGTTCAGTGCCTTAGCTGTGAGACCAGCCTTCCTATCTAATGTCCTTAACCTTGCCTACATTATGGGTTTATGAAGAGATACGAGTGACAATTAAGTCAAATGGCCATTTAAAAAAAAAACAAAAACCAGACATTAAATCTCTTCAGAAAAATAACTATTGGGACAGCTTGCAAGATTGCCTAGTGCACAAGCTATGCCTGGATTTATGGGAAATAGGCACTAGAACCATCTCAGCACACTCTACCGATACAACCCACGTGGATGCCTGAAAGAACTCCCACATGGGCAACAGAAAAGCACAAATCTGAGCTCAAAGAGACACATGAAGTGTCATATAATTTCAACATATAATTATGCCTGTCAATGTACTGTGATGATCTGTATGGTCCAATTTTAGATGTCCCAAGGGAAGAACCTTCCAGCAAATTTCCAGTCTTAGGTTTAACTACCAACAGGCAGATAATTCTAACCCCCACCCCCACCCAAAAAAACCCAACCAAACCCCACAGTACTAGGACTGTGGAACAAGATTTGACCCACTTGGTGACTTCCGTGACATGCTGGAGTTTCAAGGAAAAGAAATGATATTCATACATAATGGTAAAAAAGTCTGTGACCAATACATTGGAGAAGTTTTGCAGAGCAATTTAAACACTCAAAAGCATGCTGTCTCTCCAGGCTAAGATCAATGAGGCCCAGTACTGAAATGCAAGTTACAATTTGTTTTAGGAATTCTCTCTTTTTTTGGCATGTTTAATGCAATACATCCAATATTGCTAAGCACTGAAAGCTGGTCTATGCTAGCAAGTTAGGTCGGGTTAACTATAGTTGCTCAGGGCTGTGAAAAATTTCACATTATGTGCGATCTAGTTAAGCAATCCAAGCCCCGGTATAGACACTGTTCGGTCGCCAGAAGAATTCTTACATTGACCTAGCTACCGCCTCTCGGAGAGATGGTTTTACTCCAGTGATGGAAGAACCCCTTACTACAGTGATGCAACTGCAGTGCTGAAACTGTGCCGTTGTAGCATTTCTAGTGTAAGGCTAAGGCTCAACAATATGCCTGTACATGGCAGAGCTAAGGTAGGGTGAGGAAGAGGTGCTCTAATGGGACCTCAAGAGGTCTTCTAGTCTAGTCCCCTCCACTCATGGCAGGACTAAGTATTCTGTAGACCCATCCCTGACAGGTGTTTGTCCAACCTGATCTTAAAAATCTCCAATGACAGAGATTCCACAACTTCCCCAGGCAATTTACTCCAGTGCTTAACTACCCTGACAGTTAGGAAGTTTTTCCTAATGTCCAACCTAAATCACCCTTGCTGCATTTTAAGCTCATTGCTTCTTGTCCTATCCTAAGAGATTAAGGAGAGCAATTTTTCACCCTCCTCCCTGTAACAACCTTCTATGTACTTGAAAACTGATATGTCCCCCCCGCAGTCTTTTCTTCTCCAGACTAAACAAAGTTTTTTCAATGTTCTCTCATAAGTCATGTTTTCTAGACTTCTAATCATTTTTGTTGCTCTCCTCTGGATTTTCTCCAATTTTTCCACATCTTTCCTGAAATGTGGCGCCAAGAACTGGCCACAATACTTAAGTTGAGGCCTAATTAGTGCAAATAAAGCGGAAGAATTACTTCTCATCCTGTGATTCTATGATACTAAATGGAGTTGCCTGGAGGCATAAGTGTCTTCATAAGAGACAGTCTATCCAGAGGCGCTGATCGGAGCACAGTGAACAAAAGGTCCTGTTACACCACTGAAAAAGATACAGCCAGCACTGTCCCCACACTTGCCAGGAAGCACAAGGGTGGGGTCCTGCCCCTGTCCCACAAAGATGAACTTCTGGAATATCAAGCATTGTCAGTAGTGCTGGCCAGCGCCCTTCCCCTAGCACTCCCCAGTCCAGCTGTCCAAATTATCATTACCTCCTGACAGGAAGGTATTCCCCTGCACTCTCTCCGACTCCTGCCGGTAGTGTACCCACACAGAAACCCCACAGAAAGGGCATAATCGTGCCCTAAATGGTAATAGGAGAAGACAACTAAATATATCAGCTTTAAGGAGAAATAGTTTTAAATAGTTTAAAAGTTAATTCCCGCCCACAAAAGTCATCTGTGGCTGCTGCTTTACTGTATGCACCCATTCATTCCCTCAGTTTCAAGGGACACTGGAGGGGAGATGAGATAATTTTGGCCAGTTCTGTTCCCCTTTCTGTTTTCCTTGTTCACACATTCAGAGTCCTTTTTACATCCCAAGATGGAAATCAGGGATGTTTGGAGTAGAAATAGACCAAGGCTGCAAAACTCAGATCCAGAATCAAACTTTTCCAAACTGAGTGTGTTCAGATCAGGGCGTTTGTTTGACCATTCTAGAGGTAGCTGCAAAACTAGGGATACAGAGCCAACATCTGGAGCTGCTCAACTCCAGGATTTTGATTTGAGAGCACATCTTTGATCATTAGTTAAGCAAGAAAGCCACATGAAAATCACTCTCTTCATTTTAATTGCACTGAGATCTGAGTGACTGATGTAAATCAGACCTAAACAGGGCTTAAGGTGCAGTCATTCAATGCACCTCTCACAGTTACAGGGTGAACTGTGCCTTAGATCCTCTTTAATCACTCTCCAGTGCACTTCTTACGTGACAAGCCTGGCTTCATACACCTCACCCTGCATGGAACCTTGTGGTCCAACCACTCTTAGATGGGTCTCTAGGGCTGTTTCTCAACTGTGTTAATATGACAGGCCCAGCTGAGTTTGGCACCTCTCAGCCCTTTCACTGCTGGAACCTGTGACCAGAGAGTAGATTAAAATGACTCAGATGGGGCCTTCAGAACATAAGAACGGCCGTACTGGATCAGACCAGTGGTCTGTCTAGCCCAGTATCCTGTCTTCTGACAGTGGCTGGTTGGAGGTTTAAGAACACCCAGAACAGGGCAATTTCAAATGATCCATCCCCTGTCATCAAGTCCCAGCTTCTGTCAGTTGGAGGTTTAGGGACATGTAGAGCATGGGGTTGTGTCCCTGACCATCAGCTAACAGCCATGGATGGACCTGTCCTCCATGAACTTATCTAATTCTTTTGGAATCCAATTATCCTTTTGACCTTTACAACATCCCATGGCAACAAGTTCAATGGGTTGATTGTGCGTTGCATGACGAAGTTGTTCCTTTTGTTTGTTTTAAACCTGCTGCTTATTAATTTCATCACGTGACTCCTATATAACGGAATTATGTGAAGGAGTGAACAACACTTCCCTAATTCACTTTCTCCAGACCATTCGTGATTTTATAGACTATTATTATATCCTTCCTTAGTCATCTCTTGTCTAAACTGAACAGTCCCAGTCTTTTTTTAATCTCCCCTCGTATGGAAGCAGTTCATATCCCTCATCATTTTTATTGCCCTATATCTTCTTTGAGATGGGGTGACCAGAATTGCACACAGTATTCAGAATGTGGGTGTACCATGGATGTATATAGTGGCATTATGGTATTTTCTGTTTTATTATCTATCCCTTTCCTATGGCTTCTAACACATAGATAGCTTTTTTTGACTGCTTCTGCACATTGAGTAGGTGTTTTCAGAGAACTATCCACGAGGACTCCAATATCTCTTTCTTGAGTGATAACATAATTTAGCCCCCATCAATTTACATGGATACTTGGGATTAATTGGCATTATTTATGCATTTCCCCAAAAGTACAAAGCCCATCAAGCAAAGGATAAAACCAATTAAAGTCCTATACGTCTGGATCTGGTACATCTTAATCTTTCCTTGCCAGCTTTTGTTATTCCCCCTCAGCCCAGCTAACAACTCATCTCTTGCTGAGAGAAACAGACTGTCCTGATCACAGTAGGCTTTCCTGGTCTTTTTTTTTTTCCTCGCCAACCTGTCAGCTTTCACTGATACCCTGGACAGCCACCTGGCCACTCACTCAACCCCCATCCTTTTCTAGGGCCAGGGCCCTCTAATGCAGTGGTTCTCAACCAGGGGTATGTGTACCACTGGGGGTACACAGAAGTCTTCCGGGGGTACATCAACTCATCTAGAAATTTGCCTAGTTTTACAACAGGCTACATGAAAAGCACTAGCAAAGTCAGTACAAACTAAAATTTCATACAGACAATGGCTTGTTTATACTGCTCTATATACTACACACTGAAATGTAAGTACAATACTTATATTCCAATTGGTTTATTTTATAATGATACGGTAAAAATGAGAAAGTAGGCAATTTTTCAGTAACAGTGGGCTGTGACACTTTTGTATTCTTATGTCTGATTTTGTAAGCGTGTAGTTTTTAAGTGAGGTGAAACTTGGGGGGATGCAAGACAAATCAGACTCCTGAAAGGGGTACAGTAGTCTGGAAAGGTTGAGAGCCACTGTTCTAATGTCATAGTGTTCCCTTTGACCTCTCTCTCCTCAGCCTTGCAAAACAGCGATAGGATCAAGGCTGCTGAATAGTCTCCTCTTCCTAGCTATAAACCTGGGCATTGTGTTTGTTTAGATGCTCCTTATGTAGGCCGGTTGGTTTACCTTTCCTGCTTGGTTCCCTTAACAGCCCCTTTTGATCTAACTCCATAGCAAGTAACCCATCCAACAACCACACACAGGTATGCACCATATTCATGAAAAATAAACCAATGTCTCCCACTTGGTCATAGAACCACTGCGCACTAGGCAGCATTTGGGTGTTGAGTTTTGTGACCAAGGAGAGAGTGGGAGTGCTGTGGAAGCCACATCCAACTCCTCCCTCTGCTCCCTCCCCCAACACACACCTTGCAGAGGGAGGAAGCTCTTCACTTTACCTTCAAGTGACCTCCACCTCATGTCAGTGTACAAATCACCAACAGCCCCTAAGGAAAATGCATCTAAATCCTTCCCAGATGAAGGAAAGGTTGCCATGTTGGGGGATCTTTAGGGAGGGATTGTGTGTTTAGGGGAAGGGTTGCTAGAGGAGCCTTCTTTCTCCTTCCCTCTCTCTCTCACTCTCTTGGGTGCATGCACACACACACACACACACAGCCAACAAAGGAAGCCTGAAATCATGAAACATACAAAGCACCTTTCCCCTCCAACTGATGTGTCAGTAAAAAATAAATGTAAAGACCTGCTTCTCTGCAGGGCTAAGCAATGAATGAAGCTCTAAGGAAAGAGAAAACAAAAGGCATGATAATCAAAAAGTGGAGTTCAAGTTATTTGTAAGACCCGATTACACTGTGTAACACGTCTTGTATTCATTTTACAGGATTGCTATGTTATCTTGAAACTGAGTGCAGTACCTCCGCTCTGCTGTTAGAGATGGAGAAAGACCATGGGAGTGTAAATGCCACCAACACATAGATAAACAAACAAAGCTAACTGTGGTTAAATTCCTTGGTGTAATTTAGAGTATATTTTTCTATCAAGTAGCAAGGACAGAAAGAGCACTTGGGTCATGTAGTCTGATCCCTCTTGTATTGTGTGGGACTATTTCTATAAGGGCCTACTAAAAAGTTTCTTGCACCTTCCTTGAAGTGGCTGATGCTGGCCACTGTCAGCATACTGGACTAGATATATCTCAGGACTGATTCCTCATGGCAATTCTTATGTATTCACTACCTCACTCCCAGTCTGTCTGCAGTGATCGTACTTTTACTTCGCTCCACTCAGTTCCCATCCTATTGCTCTTAAAGTTAAGAAACTTTTGCCTCATGTCTATCTTAAGCTTTCCTTCTCCTTCTTTAGCTTCCAGGCATTGCTATTGTTCCTTGTCCTTCCATCTTCCAAAACGGTATAATCCTCTGCCTTCCTTTAGACTGTTAGCTTGAATTTATTTATAGACTGTGGGAACGGCCACTGTAGACTAATTATTTTTGCTATGCTCATATATCTGCAAGGGCGTAAAATTTGTCAATAGTTAAAAAAAAAAAAGTTACTTTACAGTTCCACAAACAGATCATCAACTGGATCTTTGTGCAGAGGATCATTCATGTTAGTAGTTCCAAAGTTGCTATTAATAAGATAAACTAAGTAAAAATCTAATGCTGAAATAAGTTAACAGATCCTCCTCCTTGACTATATCTAGGACACTCCTTTGTGTACAACATTACTGCACCCTGTATTTGGCAGGCGTACCAAAGTTTTAATTTCTTGTAAAGATGATTGTTCTCTATTTCCAAACCAACATGATTTCTCTGCAGCCTTTTAGCCTTGATTAGTTGGCAAAATCAATATTAGTTTAATGAATTTGAATATTTCTAGAGATACTGCTTATCTGTCAGCCTTCCTCTTCTAGGGTGACTGATTTAACTGGATACGAGCCCCAAGACTTGATAGAGAAGACCCTCTACCACCATGTCCATGGCTGCGATGTCTTCCATTTACGATATGCTCACCATCTCTGTAAGTAATTGGCATAAAGTGACTGGCTCAAACCTTCAGCTTAGTCAGTAGGGTCAGGAGTTCTGCAGACAACAGCACAGTGGAGCAAGGAAAACAAATCTGAAAAGGGACAGATCTCAAGTGCTCAGCACCCATAATTGAGACCAGATTTTCAAAAATACTCAGCTCCCATTCAGGAAGCAATTAAATGGTCTGATTTTTAAATGAGCTCATCACCCAATATGCTCTGTTCTTTTCAAAATATATTTGGCTACCTATTTTGCTGCCCAAATGGGAGCAGAGCTGTTTTGAAAATCTGTCCCTGATTGTGAAAAAAATCTGTCTCTTAATGGTCTTAGTTTGGAAAAAAAAGTTATGCAACAGTTCCATTGATTTTTGCAAGTACATTGGTAATAATCAGTGTGTGTTTGAAATGTTGGATGGAAAACCAAAGAATTCTGAGATGCATGTTCCTTAGTAGCATGTGGATGAGTTCTGAAAACAGAGTGTCAGGAGAAACAGGTACATTAGTAATTCCCCACTGACAAGAGGGCAATTGATCACCTCCTCAAACATCTGTATTTAGTTTATTCACTGAAATAGTCATACAGCAGCATTATTTATTTATTTATTTATTTTCCACAAGCAAATTGGGGGAATAGAAAATTTTTCTGATATGGCTCAGACTTCCACGCCCAACTCTTACCACATACACTAATTGTGTAAACAAACAACCCAAAGAAAAGACAAAAGAAACCCAAACCATTGCTAATGAATTGGTTTCCAGATTGCTACCATTGGTTTAAAACAACCAGAAAGAAACCATCCTTACCCTCTCTGAAGAAGAATCAATCCCTTATGTTACTGTGTGATATTAATGAAGATCTGGAATATATATAAGAACTATATAGGAAGATGACCTTACTGTACTTAGAGCAAGTCAATAGTGAATGACTTAATATCAAATTCTGTTGACTCCAATGGGAGTTATGCACAGGAAGGCAGAAATTGACTCTAAATATGTTGGCATTTTCCAAAGAATTAGTGGAAGCTCAGACTTGCTAAGTCACATTATTTCCTACTGGCTCTTATTTTTAGTCTCCTCTTTTATGAAAGATCAAAAACTGTTTATATCCTTAGTTCCTTCCTATGGCATCTGACTGCTCACCTGCACAAGCCAATGCTCATTTCCCCCCTCTGATATTATTTGAGATAGCGATGTCAAACAGTAGAAATAATTCTGATAAAGCTATGATCTTCTTCTGAAAAACTGTATCTCACCTTTACAACACAGTCATGATCATCAGAACCCATAGCATCAGAACTCATTCTGGCAATGGAAGGCAATAGCTGATACTTTGGTCCAGTTTTGTAAATAGGATTTGAGTGGCGCATGAGTGGAATTTTAAAATACAGAGATATGACTAAGCTACTTAGTTAAAAATACTGATCTGGATGCTATAACTGAACTATAAAGGTAAAAAATTACGAAGTTTAGAAACAAGTTTAGAAGAAATATAAGAGACACATATATAAATTACAAGGTCTGACGAGTTAAAGTAACCAAGGGCCAAGGAGAAAACGTCAGAATACTTGGGGAACAATAGGAACAGTAAAAAAGCATGGCATGAATAGCGAGTAATAAGAATGATGAAAACAGATGTAAAATGTACAAACTTCTGTGCCTCCAGAGAGCACTATTATAACCCCCCCATCATCCATCAGCAAACATCTGACGAGTATGAACAGTAGAAGGTTGTCAGGTCTGAATGTACACAATTTAGCATTCTATGAAAGAGTCTGATGATTAAGTGTCACCTGACGTTAATCTGGAGAGAAAAAAATCTTACACCTGATTAGGGAATTAAAAAAACAAAACCCTATACTGAGATAAGCTCTTCCAAAATAAACTCAAAAACTATAAGACAAGCATTAGAGAGAGCCATGAAGGAAACAATAAAACTAGAAGTATAACGGGTGAAATAAGAACAGCAAGACTAGTAGATGTGAGAAGTTTGCTGAAGATATGCTGATATAAAAATAGTTTCCTGTTTGAAACATTTGGTAGCTTCCAGGTTGAAGAAAAAAATGTTGACATTTCAGAGGGTTTACTTATTTCTATAATGCCATCAGTGTGCAGGGAATTGCTGTACAAAGGAGGAAGTTTGCCACTCAGCTAATGGGTCCCTGCCTAAGGAGCTGAGAGTCTTCAAAACCGGACAAGTGAAGCCATTACAATGCAAACAAAATACTCCTAGCCTCAGCTGTGTCTTTTCTCTTGAGCCTTCTTCCTTTGTAGGGAGGGTTCAGTGCACCAAAAATGTTATAATCTCATTGTTTCTACTCCACAAATTGCTGCCAGTTTGTCCAGGAACTGGATCCTTATGCCAGAGCAGACAAAGTACAAGCCCCAGCTGCTCCCTGGAAGGGAACCTCACAGGTACAACGCCCAGTATAATGGAGGTGGTGCAGGTTAAACTCTGCACCACCTTGAGCCTCTTGTCTCCCAGTGTAATGCTCAAGACTTTCAGCAAAGCTTCACTGCTCTTCCAGGCAGCTAGGGAGCTTTAAAGGGCTGCTATTCTGTTAGGGCACCATTCACTGATCATGCAGTTGTAGGGAATCCAGTGGATTGCTGAGTGGTCTGATCTGGGGAAGCTTAGATAATTACTGTTGCAAGTGTAGGATTGAAAGGCCAATTTACCTGTAGTTGTGGCCTTGAGCACAGGCTGGTGAATGATGCATTTCAGTGAAACCTATGGAGCCTTTTAAAATAGCCATTTATGACAGACCAAATCGGCCAGCCCATGTAAGCCAATCTTTTCAGCCTGCACGCTCAACCAGGCAGGGAACCACAAGAGAGAAACAGCCATTCACAAATGGCAGAAGAAAGCTGTAAACTGAACAGCCAAGAGTAAAAAGCTGCTGAATCCTATCCAACTGATTGCACTGAGGGTCACTTGGGCCTGCACAAGTTGGCTTGGTAATAGACACTTCTCACCCAGAAAGACATGGCTGAGGTCTCTTTGTCAGCAGCTCACAGGGCAATTTAATGCAGGGTCAACTGCGAACTGATCTAACATTCTGTATTAGAATCGTGGCCACTATCCTTTGTCCAACGAGATGCTTTCCTCAAAGACTGCCATAAAGAAGAACACAGGAGAGACACAGCTTATACATACTTGGGAAGTGAAGCTGGAGCTTCAATTCTTTTGCAACCTTTAAAACATTGTCTTAACAGAGGACCTAAAATAGGAATTAGGAAAATGAGAAGGCAACTGACAAAGGTGGAGCCCAGAACAACTCCGAATGCACAAAGAACACTGCTGCGGATACATGGAACAGAAGGTGCTCTACTAGTATTAATTTATGCTTTGGAAACTAAGTAGCTAGATAATTTGAATTTGGGATAAGAGAAACCTGAGAATTAGACTAAGGATATGACTACACTTTGAGCTGGGAATGTGATTCCTAGCTTGAGGAGACATACCAGTGCTAGCTCCGATCAAGCTAGTGCACTAAATATAGTGTAGCTGCGATGATGAGGGCTAGACACCTTGAGTACATGCTTAGTGTCTGTGATGGGCATGTACTCGGCGTGGCTAGCCCCTCCTGTTCCTATGGGTACATTTTATTTTTAGCATGTTAGTTTGATGAGAGCTAGCATGAATATGTCTCCTTGAGCTGAGACTCACTTCCCCAGCTTCAAGTGTAGACATCCCCTGAGGTAGAGGAAGTTGCTTTTGGAAAAGTAGAGCCCATTGAAAAGCTCTCTCTCTCTCTCAGAAAATCAAAGCCAAAATGAGTGTGTGCCATTTGGGAGGCTTTGGGTTCTTTAGAGTACAGGTAAGCATGAAAGCATGATGCACAGAGATTTAACTGGACAACTCTGAGTAGTAACATCACAGATGTAGACAAGCATTAATCAAAGTTGTGACACTAAATCCTAAAACAGGAAATTGAAGATGGGCTCCTTTGTTTTGTCCAAGACGTGAACCTTTGAATTAATGTATTGAGCTTATGGTTATAGAGAAATAGGACAACCTAACATGATATAAAAGAAGCCAGATGACTAAAAAGGGACTCTGAGGCTTGGCATCTACCATGATGGATTCCTGGTCTACCTCTCAAAGGATGCTGCAGTTTACCTTGGTTTCTTCAGAACGAAGATGGACTGTGTCTATTAGTGGAGGAGGAGCTGACTCCATACCAGAAAGATCTTGCAAGAGTAATTTTTGAGGGGATTTCCTGAGGAACTCCGGCAAGATAAACTTTTCTTCAAATCCAGTCTAATGAGTTACCACCTGTGTAAATGAAAATGAGAGGAACCTAATGTGAGATGATCCGTATACTGTAGATACTAGCATTCTGAAACTTCAGGGGGGTAGTACCAAGAACAAATGTTCTAATCCTTCCATGACTCATTTAACCCAAAGTTCTAGCTCAGTTATAGTATGTCAGTCTCTCTAACCAGGTATTTACAACATGCACATCACCGTGGCATCTGACCACTGTCAGAATTTACAAAAACATAATTAGTCCAAAGACTGAAAACCATGTCATTAACTACCAAATGGTAAAGAAAAGTGCTCTTCTATTCCACCCCTACTACTGGATACATCTCCATCAAAATAACCCCCTGTGAATACAAGTAATTGAATGAGTCCAAAAGTTTCATTTCAAGCGGTCGTTTTCTTCACTACCACTGGATTAAAGCAGAAAATTATTGCTTGTCTGGCCAACTTATTGGCCTGATCCTGCATCGAAAATCAGCCTAGTTCCATCTGGGAACTTTACCATCCAGTTCAGTGGAATGCAGAATCAGGCCATGAGAGAGTAAGAGAGAATCTCTATTTCTTCATAGTGTATCGTACAAACCTACTGCGAGTTGCCGCTATTGGCTAAATCGGAGCATTTGAACACCACATACTGCCTTTTTGCTCAACGTAAAACAAATATTTGGTTGTGTGGAAAAGGAGCAAGGTGGAGCTTCCCAGTAGGCCTTCAGGGTCATGCAAGAATGTTCCAGAGCTGGAGTTATGGCTTTGTTGTGAAGCATTAGTTAAATCTCTGGCACTGAACCAGAGAGATCTGTGGAGAGGGAGCCAGACTAAACATTTGGAGATTGTCCCCAGTTCTAATTTTAGCATACCCCTTCACAGAGAAACCAAGCAGGGTGTTTAGAGGATTTACACCTCCAGTAAAAACTCTCCAGTAACTGATTTGCTTCCTGAGACTACTCTTTATTTGTATGTTTAAGAAAAGAACCAAAGAACTGTACTTTAAATTTGTCATGTTAAAAAAATAAGCTCAGTCTTCAAAATACAAAGTTTACTTTCCAGACGGGAAAAAGAAAAGCAGCCAAAAGTACATTACAAATGCTCAATCGTGTTTCAATCAGTCAATTGCAAATGCTTCCAAATTCTTTGGTAAAATTAAAATAAAAGCAGTTCTCTCTCTGTTTCCAAATATTTTTGGATTTTTCAGACCTTTTTAAAAAAAGCAGTCCAAAAGGTGGGGGTGGTTATTTGCACTTCCAGAAATAACGACTTTGTTATGATATGAGTGGAGAATAAATTGGGGGATAGAGGGCAGATGAAGATAAATAGTCTGTAATAAGATATTTGTACACAATTATGCAAAACCCAGAGAAACTATATAGAGGAGTGTGGTCTTTGCAGGGAAGTTCAGAGTTTGTAGGGGACAAGTTTACTCTTTACAAATAAATCACTGTAGGAGCTGGTCACAAGGTCAAGCAATGTGAAATACTCTTTGCATTATGTTCACAGTGTTGGTGAAAGGCCAAGTCACAACCAAGTACTATCGACTACTGTCCAAGCATGGAGGTTGGGTTTGGGTACAGAGCTATGCTACCATCGTGCATAACAGCCGTTCATCTCGGCCTCACTGCATAGTGAGTGTCAATTATGTCCTTACGTAAGTCAAAATATTTTGTACCAATAAAGACATTTATCAGTACTTAATGGATTACTAATTCAATCCTTTATCCAAGTTTATTGTATTAATCTCTTCTGGTATCATCTTATATATATACAAGCTACAGCAATTTCTTTTTCCCCACCACCTCCCTCTTTTACTTACAGTAAGTGACCGTATGAATGACATATTGGGTAAAATGAGTGCGTATCCACTCTGATTAGATTTACACACTATTATCTTGCATTCTGAAGGATTCCAAAAATTTGGTGGTGAACATGTCACATTACTGGTAATTATTTGGGTTACAGGGGAGCCCAGAGGCTGTACTTGAGATCAGAGCCCCTGTATGCTAGGCAAAGTTTATGACCTGATGAGTTTACAGTCTAACTAGACAAGACAGACAAAGGGTGGGAGAAAGGAAGTATTATGCCCATTTTACAGGCAGGAAACTGAGGCACAGAGAAATTAAATCACTTGTCTGAGGTCGCACAGCTGGTTAGGGCTCAACTCTTTTCTTGTATTTTCAAGTAACTGCCACAAAGCCTGTGCACATCTGTTGGCAGAATTTAGTTCTAGGTCATTTTCTCAGACAGAAATGACTCCTAGCTATGGAAGAGAGGGAAAAGGTTTTGTCTGGTTATTCTTTCACCTGTCTGCTGTAAAACTTACTGAAAACACTGTCATTACCCATGAAATTCAATCTTTATACTGTATGCTTTCATATTGTTGATGTTCAGCTCTCTTGCTATACCCTCTCACTTCCCTCCACTGAAATTTTTGGTAAGTCCAAAAGGAATGGCTTTTTTTTTTTTAAATCAGAACTTCAGCAATAAATGGAAAAACAAACCAGCACACCAAACACTGAAGCCCCACAGCTTAGTCTTAAATATCCTTATTTTTTTGTACACAATTACCTATAAAATATTGTCTAAAAATCTGCTGTATCTATTGAACAGATAAATGTGAGAAAAGATAGACCTCACCATGAAATTAAACCCTACTGGCTGATTCTGTGGTTTGGTTGTAGCAGATCATACTGGCAGAAGAATGACCTGGGTTCCCTTTCCTCTGTGCCAATATTCAGATGTATCAGGGAAAAGACGAACTCATGCTTGAGGAAGATTGGAGGACACTGAACTGATCTTTGCCCTGCTGTTAGATCAGCCCCACACCAGCGTTGTCTGTGGTTCCCAAGGCAAAGTGCCACAAGGATGGCTTAAACAAAAAAAAAAAAAAAAAAAGAGAGAGCGATCTTAAGTTCAGATGTTAAGGATGTTTAGTACCAAGTTTGTAATCTGGTGGAATTTTTTCAATCCATTTCCATGGGAATAGGTTCAGGCCTTATCTCCCTCACTCACATTCCTCACCCACCACTGCAGACCAAATGAATATCTTGGATGGATAGTAATGAAAACATTGTGAAACTAAACCATTTTAAAATGATATTTTTCATCTGTGCAATGCATTAAAGTATTTAACCTATCACAATGATTCTTTTGCAGAGATATTGAGTACAAGGAACTTCAATTATCACTGGACCAGGTTACCATTTCTAAGTCACAGTTTTCATGCAGAAACTCAATGTCTACCTCACAAGAAACAAGGAGAGTAGCAAAACCCAAAAGTAATAAAATGAAGGCAAAACTCAGAATGACTCCTTACCCGCAACAGGTAACTCTTTCAGTAACACCCAACTACAAGTAAACAGGGCATTTGTGGGAGTAGCTTGGTCATCCTGAGATTACCTTGCTGCTAGTACAGTGCGGCCAGTTAACATGAGGCTTGTCCTCTCTTGGGGGCACGAGAATGCCATCTTATGTAAATGGCACAGAAGAAATGGAGAAGGCACAGTATGGGGGAAGAAGAGGCTTAAGGATTATCAGGTTATCAGTCAGAACTCAAAAGCTTTCAGATTTTAGGTAGTCAGATTAGTTAGAAAAACTAAGGTTTTGTTTTTTTTTTAAGCAAAAAGAGAACAATGTAACACAGAACAGATGCTGTATGTTTAATCTGAGCTAGTGTAAAAATGTACCAATTTTTGCTAACCAAGGTCTGGTTCCAAATGAATGCTGGCAACTTCCTCAGGCAGCAGAAGGTAGCCTAGTGGATAGGATGCTGACTTGGGATTTAGGAGACCTGGGATCAATTCCTGGCCTGCTGGGTCACCTTCGGCAAGTCACTTAGCCACTCAGTGCTTCAGTTTCCCAATTTTTAAAATGGGGGATAAGAATATTAATCTTCTTTGTAAAGGTACTTTGAGATCTACAGATGATAAAAGTTGGATATTATTATTGATCAGGAATGGGAAAAAACTAGCACATGTACTTTATTGAACACAGTTGGAGCCAGTCAAACATTTGGAGGAAGTGTGTGTTGTGGTGTTTAACTGACTTAGAGAGGTTAGATCTTGACTTGCCACCATTCCAAAGCTTCCCATATTAATAAATAAATCTTTTTAACATAAGCAAATGACACTCATATGTCATTTAACCAAAACTTCCTGTTCTTCAAAACAGGATTATATCCTCTGACGTCTAAGTACAACTATTGACCAAAAACTTTTACTATCCAAAATTATTCCTTATCATTAGGATGACTGAGGTTGTGCTGAAATTACTCTAAAGTTGCATCAAAATAGTGTTTTGCTACTGTCTTTATTCAGTGACCTAACAACACTGTATGATATTTACATAGCAGCTCACATCCTGAAGGGATCTCCAAAGAGTTGCAAACCTGCCTTTGAAATGCAGCCATCTCTTGGGTGGAGTGTATCATTTGGTTTACAATATTCCTCACACCATGTCCTTAACTGTCTCCAGTTAAAAACAGGAGAAATTTTAGATAGGCACAACTATCCAAGTAAGATTTCTGACTGAACACTAGGATTAATGCCCTAACTCTGGTGAAAAGTCACATGGGATTTTTAATGAAAAGTGGTCAGCAGCCTTGTTTTATCAGTAGCCATCATAGCTACTAATACAGTGCCTTTGTGGGGGACACTTACTCACTGCTGACTTACGGGGAAGAATGTCATCCACTGAGTCACCGACACCACTTTCCCCTGCAGCTTCCCAGTCCAAGTATTGATCTGTCCCAACCCTACTTAGTTTATGAGATTTAATGATGTTGCAGTTCCAGGTGGCATGGCTGGAGGCTACCACACTGGTGTGTAACATGGATGCATTTGAACACCTTTCTTTATTTTTCAGCAATACAGCTCATTCCAAACAGACAAACTGGAATGTGGCCAGGTTGGAAGCTGGAGATCCAGCCCTACAGCGAATGCTGGCGCCATCCAAGAACAGAATTTCCATTCAGAAAACAGTGAACTTTTATATGCCCCCTCATATAGTTTGCCTTTCTCATACCATTATGGACACTTCCCTGTAGATTCTCATGTCTTCAGTAGCAAAAAACAAATGCTGACGTCCAAATTTGGGCAGTCTCAAGGGTCACCTTGTGAAGTGGCTCATTTTTTCTTGAGTACGTTGCAGACAAGTGGAGAGCGCCAATGGCATTATGCCAACTCTTTAGTACCTACCAGCCAGTCGCCGTCTAAAAATCTTCCCGATCAGCCAATGAATGTCGCACGCCATAATCTTGCACAGAGTTATGAAGGTGAGTGTTATCTTAAAAATAATAAGCTGCATAGCATTTGGAAGATGTTTTTAATGTGTACTTCTAAAATATGAAATACAGTATGTTTACTGAAGACAGGAAAAATATATCTGGGGTGTAACGTGCAGCATGTTTAAAAAGCACACTGTCATGGCATTTAGACCTACTTTTGTTTCGTTTGAACATTTGAACAGGAATGTTATCCAGTTTCAGAATGTCAATTTTTCTTTTTATTAAAGCCTTTAGTGGGTAAATTTTCACAAAAGCCAAGACTTGGACTCCCTTTACAGGCACAGCTCACATGCGTGTTTATGGAAGTTAGTTTGCAGGTGCAAAAATCTGGATTCAAATTGTTCCAGCATAATCAGAAAGAAGTGGAAGTACGCAGATCTGCACCTACAAGTCAACTGCAGAAACCAAAATACAGGCATGATTGTACCCAAACAAAAGGGAGGCCATCCTTTTAAAAATGTACCTATATTTGAAGTATTTGCCTTACTAGCTATATTAATGATAGTAAATGTAAGTGTTTTTAGGATTGAAGTCAATGGGAAATTGCCTTGATTACTAATTTTCTTTGGGCAATGTCTTCACTGATGGGAGTTTCACCATCTTTCCACACAGCTGGGGGCAGCTCAAATGCTTTGAAAGGAACACAGGGGATGTTGGCCTCTCCCACCGGGCAACTCACAAGAAGTGTACTTCCAATGAAAAAAATCAAATCAAATAAGAAGTTGAAAATTCAGTCCAATCCTTGTGTGAAATAGGTTTTAAATATTTCTCTGCTCAGTGTTTAACTGCATATACCACCCCGAAGAAAAGAAAAAACAGCTGTAATGGGAGCCTGCAGTAAGATGGATACACTGAAAACAACTAGTTAGGACTGATTAGCAGAGACATTACTGGGAGAAAGGAAGTTTTCCATTCTCCTATGGAATGTCTCCTCTGATGGAAAACACTGAGGAATAAAAGATAGGGAAAGACAGGTAGGATCAAAAGTTTTAGCGACCCCAGAGATGTCACAGGATTATTCACTTGGGACCACTCACTGTGGCACCCAGCTCCTGAAGGAGGTGCTTGAAGATTGATCTTACTGTGCCTGACAAAGAGGGGTATCAAGTAACATCTGTGGCCTTGCACATATCTTCTATGGAGGCCACAGCAGTCTCTGACCAGGATATTGCCATGCTCTTCAGTGAATGAGCCTTGATGACTTTGTATATCCAGGTTCCTGAGACTTTGCATGTTTCCAATATACAACCATAAATCCACCTGGCAACGGAAGCTTTAGAGGACTTTTTACCATTGTATTTTAGGTGAAAAGAAACAATAATGAAGGTTTTCCATATTGTTTTCTTCAGCTTAAATACATTTTCTGAGCACTGTGGACATCTAAGGTGTGCCAGACTCCTCTGATGAATGATGTGGACTTGCACAAGACGACAAGAGCAGAGTTTCTTAACTGGTGTGAAAAGGAGTATTTATTTCCAGAATAAAATTGAGAGATGCCCTAGGAACTATTTTGTCCTTGTGAAAGAAGCAACAGAGATCCTTATAGACAAAAATCATGAGGAGCTAAATCAGAGACGTACGGATAAAGGTGTATAACAATGTGCATTTCTATTAGGTGTGAAAGCCAAGGCCTTTTTGACCAAATTGATCATTTTTGCTTTTTCCTTTTTTTTCTAATTTGCTCTGTTTTTGGATTAAGGGGATGGGGAAATATGTACAGAACAGCCTGTGGCCATCCAATTTGCCAGAGCAAAAAAGTCTTATATTGAAATTGAACATGAATACCGGCAAATATATTACCTTTGATAGAATTTGGTATCTGCAGGTAGGCTTCTAATAAGTATATGCAAGTCAAGAATAGAACAGAAAATATTGTGGCTCTCAAGGAAGGGAGACCCATCTGAAACTGAGTTTCTTATGCACATATTTATATTCTTCAGTTTCATAACATATACATACCTCCGGTCCTCTTCTTCACAATGAAGAGAATGGAGTTGAGACCCAAGAATGTCTCTGGTTCTGAAATGGGTTTAAGCGCATAAGACAGAAAATGTGGGATCTCTCCTGAAGACAGACATGTTTTGAAGAAAGTTTGGGAATTGAGCTCAGGTCTGGTCAGAGATCACTCATGTGTCTCATAGAAAAAGTTGATGGGAGTTAGGAGTTGAGCCTCCCGGAGGGCACTGGCGATTTTATTTCTAACCTATTTCAGAATTTGCCTCCTCCATAGCCAGAATCAGACATGTTGCAATTGGCAAACAGGAGGCGTGGATCCTTGGAAGGGACCCCTTCCGTAGATTTGAATGGAATGGGAAGAAAGGAGTGTCTGATCTTGTTCACACTATCAGCTACTGCTTTTTCTATTGCTTCTCTGGACTGGTGAGAATGACTCAACTTTTAAGCAGAGAGGATCTGCTTAGAATCATTAACGGCAGTCCAAAGGAAAACCAAATATGATATCTGGGTTTGAGACCATGGCTGTTACAGCAAAGCACATTACTTCCATAGAGGCATCTGCCAAAAAGGACATGGACGGAAGATGTGTTTTTCAGTATGAATTCTGTTTTTTAAGATTCATCAGACCAAGCCATCAAATCTCTGGAAAAGTATGTAGCACAAAAAGCTGTCTGCAAATCAGATGACACTGTCTCAGAATCTTGTCTTCAGGCTTCTTCAACTTTCCTGCTGACTGGGGAAGAAGAAGAAATCCCTTCAGAGAACATAACTGTCTTCAGCCAGGGAGGATCTCTCTGCAATATTTGATACAAAAGGAGCCAACTAGGACAGAAAACTTCAGCCCCAATCAGATTCTATTATCCACTCCACTGAACTCAAGTAGCCTGAAAAATATTAAGAGCCACAACCTGTGAAACAGATCTATGCTCTTCTTGGATAGTAAAAACCAGTGAACACCTAAGACTACTACTACTGAAAATATAGGCAATGCCTTCTTCAGTAAAGCACACCTTACCAAATGCCTTGAAAAATGCAATTCTCAAGAAGTCAACTCTTGTTCCTGAAGGTTTCTCCAACTACTGTTTCATTTCCAGCCTGCAGTTCCTGGGCAAAATAATTGAGGAAGTAATAACAACCAAGCTCCAACAACATGTGACATCAGATATCATCTTAGATGCCTCACACCCAGGGCTCAGACCAGGGCACGGCCCACACATGGCTCTAGGGCAGGGGTTCTCAACCTGTGGCCCAATCAACACACAGCTGCGGCCCATGTGACATCCTCTGGGCCATACCGGTAATAATGGTAAATAGGCTGAGAACGACTGCTCTAGGGGCACTAAAAGATGATCCCTTCATGGCCACTGACACTGGTTAGATCTCCATGTTCATGTATTTGACACAGTGGACCACAAGGTACTAACTTGCCTACGTTACATAGCAGGGAGCAGCTTCCCCAGCACTACAGTGCCTCCAATCGTTCTTCTCTAGCAGAACGCAGGGAGTGGTGATGGTAAATTGCTCCTCCTCTCTGATGGCCCTCTCTTGCAGGAATCTATCCTGTTTTTCTTCAGTACCTTTGTGAGACCACTGGGAGAGAAAGTGAGATGCCAAAGGCTCAGCTGCCAATAGTATGCTGATTATAGAGACAAGGCGGGTAAGGTAAATAGTATAACTGTCCTCCACATACATCTCATTCTCAACTGATGCAATCACTGATACTACTAAAATGTCAAGAATGCCTAGAGGAAGTAAGCTCTCGGATGAAGAGCAGATGGGTCAAGCTGAACCCAGGGGAAAGGCGTTGAAGAATTGGCCAAGACATTGTCTATGCCTTCCATTGAAGACAAACAGCCCCCATTTGTCAAAGTAGTGTGAAACATTGAGGTCCTGTTTAACTCCTCGCTAAGCTTGGATGACCAGGAAGTATCCATTTCCAAAGCTGCTTTCTTTCACCTTCAGCTTGTGAGGAAACTTCATCCCTTCCTCCTGGATGAGCACCTGGCCACAGTAATCCATGCATGTGTCACCTCCAGGCTGTATTACTGTAATTCATTACATCTGAAGTTGAATGTGAAGATGATGCACAGGCTTCGGCTGGTACAGAATGTGGCTGCCTACCTTCCCCATGGTTCAGGCCATGATGAGCACCTCAGACCTGTGCTCAGGTCCCTTTACTGGCTCCCAGTTGGCTGCCAATGCCATCTTAAGGTCTTGCTTCTAATTTTCAAACCAATTCATAGATTAAGCCCCAGTTACATCAAAGATCTAATTTCAATCTGTGAACCACCATGACAGCTGTGCTCCTCTGGGACAAAGCCCTCTTGGGGTGGAATCTGACTACGGAACAGTCTTCCAGAGGAGATCAAGTAAATCCAGATTCTGAACATCTTTTGGAAAAGTTGCAACACTGTCCTGTCATAGGGAGGACTGGGACCTTTAAGAGGGAACTGGTCCAGCTCACCTGTGCCTCATAACAGCCTCTTGATGGAGCCTGGTAAAGTGCAGGTGTTCCTGCTCTCTATAAAGAGCCAGAAGGGAAAACGGCATGGAAGAAGCAGCTGTGGCAGAGAAGAGAATAACTCTAGTGATCAGGAAACCCCTGAGTGGGAGAAGGATTTCGGCCAAAGCCAGAAGGCTGAGCTCCAGCTGGGAATGGCAGCTTTGTGAAAAGGAGACTGGGACAGAAGAAGAGCTCTGGATGTGGTAGAAGACACTAGGGTATGAACTTGTGTTGTGATGACAGACTTTATTTTGAGATATTAAGGATTGTTTTTAATTGTTTCTGTTATTAAACCAGCCACAGGCAGTGGTGTCATTAGACACAAGACAGTCTGTGTAGAGTTCTTAAGGGGCTCAGATGAGGGAAACAGAGGCAGGGCACCACAGAGCCATGCCTGCACATCCTTTGTGAGAGGGCCTTTCCACCATAAATGATGCTCAGTTTGATCACCTCTGTAATTACCAAATCTCTCCCACCCTTCTCTGTCCTGTCAAAACAACCCCTGCTCCAAGTAGAGTTTTGGCTTCATAAAGGGAGAAGTGCTGGAGACTTCAATGAAGTCCACTATGAACTTCGCTATTCATTTTACACAGAAGGTTCTTGGACATTATAGTGACAGGTAGTAGTATGAAAATGACAGATGCCTAAAATTATTCAAAGAGAGCTTTTCTTAGTGCCCCAAACTTTGCCAGGTGTTAGAGACTGGATTGTGCCCTCACCTGGAAACTTGCAGTGAGTTCTTAAAACATCCATGAATGGGAAAACACAGAGGTTGTACCTGATGTTATCTTAGAGGAGAGTTCCATCCCTGATTTTGGTTTCCTCAAGCTAGGGCCCAGCAGGCTGGACACTAGCGTTGTGATATTCATTATCTTTGTTGCCTCAGCTTTGGCAGGTGGCAACATTTAGCCCCCTGTAATTCTCGATCAAGCGGTGCTCTCCTCAGTTTCTGCAAATTCCCCTCTCAGTAGAGGAAGAGAAAAGAGAACAAAACCATAATTTCTGACCTCTAGTGGCTTTTGGTTTATTTGCCTTTTTTCTTAATCCCTTGGGCTTTCTGGGGGAAGATGCAGACAGCCATATGCTCGTGTAGGTTGTTTGGGGGCTGATCCCATTTTCCTTTGCCCAGGAACTTGAAGCAGGAACTACTCAGAATATAAGAAACTTGTACCATAGTCATAATACCCAATATATTATCCTGAGGTAATTGCTCTAGAAAAAAAGTACCTGTTTTAGCGCACAGGATGCAACAGAGGACTCTTTGCTGCCAAGGTGGCTGCATCTAATTTGTTGCTGACATGCCTCACGTCCCTTCAGGTGGAAATGGCCATTGAGAGGAGTCAGAGTCTGTTTGGCTTAGGATGGCTCCAGGTTCCTTTCCTTCCGGTGCAACATGTACTCTGAAATGGAGTGCAACTGTGTCTATCAGCTTCAGAGCCCTTTTTGCTAGCAGAGTGAAACTCAGTGAGTTGGGCACACCGAGAATAAAATATCTGGCTGCAGGTACTTCTTGCATATTGAGCACCATCTGGACTTTGATTGTGCCGTTCTGGTCTGCTCCACTCTCTCAAGGTGGGAAAAGTGTATTCCTCAGAGTGGTTCCTAAGTGGGGAAAAAATTCCCCAGAGAAGAACAGAAGGAGGAGGAGGAAAAAGTGCTCAAAACTGCTGCAATTTTAAAAAGGGGCAATTTTTAAAATGCTGGAACCAATCATGGTCATTCTCAAGGTTGGAGGTAAGGTGCTTCTGTCAGTCTTTCCAGTGGGTGGGGCTGACACCCCAATGGTTCCTTTCAAATCTCTTGAGTTGTACCCAGTCTGTGAGGGAAAGAGGGCAACCACTCAGTGAGGATTAGTGGAGACATGATGCAGAATGGACCAGATTCACTGTTGCTGGTGTAGGTTGTGAACAGAGGCAAGTACAAGGGCCCTTCTGCAAAGCCATTGTGACTTTCTGTTGTAAGGCCCAATGTTAATTGTGCAATATCCTTTGTCTCACCTCTCCCAAACTGTCTGCCAGGCCTACAGGGAGAACTCACTCCCACTGGGGGAAGAGAAACTTGACAGGAAATGTGCACAGAATTAATGCATTGACTCCTAGCCATTGTAAAACAGCTTCTACTCCATCCAGTTGAACCCTGGAGAATGAGCAGTAAATGTCTCAGGCATTTCACCGTGCTTCTGATGTAGTTGGGCGTCCTGCAGCTATGGGTTTGACAGCATTGGTTGAATCAGTCCTGGTGTAAACTACTTCCCGTGGCAGTATGATGCCCTGAGTTTGCTTTCAACCACTAAATTTCCCACTGAAGGCCATTCCATGAGACGCCCGCCTCCACCACGGTGACTTGGACTTGCAAAGACACTGGGCTGACTCTAGCCTCGTTCCAATAAATGTTTTGAGACCAAGCAAACAAAACAGAAGCTAGTGTATATGTGACCAACAATGTTTTGTGCTCTGCTGCTCCAGAGACAGCTCGTTTAACTGACTACCCTAACCCATAAGCCACCTAGATGTTGGCTTACAAACAGGGAGGTAAACTAAACAGATTTAGCTTTATCTTAAATCCATACTCCATAAATAAGAAAGGCCACAAATTAATAGCAAACTGTAGCCATTAATAATAGAATGTAATAAACTACGTAAAAAACAAAAGTACATGACTGGGTTCTTGTATATCTTATGATACTGGCTAAGCCCCAGGTCTTTAAAATTAAGTTCTTAAATTGGGGGAGAGGAGTTTTGTTTGGATGAAAGGAGGGTGCAAAAGGAAATAGGGCTTCTTCTGATAGAGGAGAATAGGGACAGGAGCTAAACTCCGCTCCAAAACTGCAGTAAAGAGGGCAGGTTTATTACATCTTAGGGCCTATTTAGACAGGGAAATTTACTGGCATAACGATACCAGTGTACTGCTACCAAGAAACAAACTAACCTCCAAAAAACCACTTGTATTCCAGAATAAGAGTGTCCACACAAGGAGTTCTAGTGGTAAAATGATTGCACTATAATTATACCAGTAAATTTCCCTGTGTAGACAAGCCCTTAGTGTTTAATAATAACACTGCTTTCACTTGTGAACTAAGATGACATTTTGTCTATTAACAAAATGTGTGCACTGTTTAGTATGAAATTTACAAAAACATTAAAAACAATATTTGAAAGTTAGTTTCTCCTTTTACTTATCTATCAAAAACTAAGCCCAGCATTCTGGACCAAATTCTTCTATTAGTTATGTGCTGCAACTCCCACTGAAATCAGTGGAAATTATGTGTAGTTGATGGCTTCACTACTGTCTGCAGCAGTGCTGTGAATATTTTAGTTGCATTGATGTCAGCAATCACTACAGGGTGAGCCCTAGGTAAGGATATGCCTACACTGCAGCTGGCAGCGTGGTTCCCAGCATGGGTAGACCGACACAAGCTTGCTCTGTTTGAGCTAGCATGCTAAAAATAGCCGTGTAGCTGGAGGTAACAGATGCAGCAGCTTGGGCTAGCTGCCTGAGTACAATTCCACCCAGACCTCCAGAGTACATACATGGGTGGCTACCCCCAAGCTACACTGCTGTTTTTCACATGAAAGCTCAAAAGCAAACCTAGCACATCTGTCTGCCTGCACTGGGAAGCAATCCCAGCTACAGCGTAGACATAACCTATAAGATGTTGGGTAAAATTTCTGAAAGAGCCCATCCATTTTTCAAGTCACTTAGGAGCCTAACTCACACTTACTTCCAATGAGACTAAGGGCTGGTCTACACTACTGCTTAAGTCAATGTAATTTATGTCGCACAGGGGTGTGAAAAAGCCACCCCGAGTGACATAAGTTACATCAACTTAAGTGCTGCCCACACCGGTGCTATGGCAGCAGGAGACGCTCTCCCACCAACATAGCTTCCAGCTCTTGCAGAGGTGGAGTAATTATGCCGACAGGAGAGCGCTCTCCTGTCGGCATAGTGTGTCTTCACCACATGCGCTACAGCGGCACAGCTGTGTTGGTGCAGCTGTGCTGATGTAGCGCTCGACTGTAGACTTGCCCTCAGCCTGAGTGGCTAACTGGCTTGAAAATGAGACTAAGGCATACTTAGATCTGATATTTGAATGTTTGATATTAAAAGGTTAAATCCAAGATTTATTTCTTGGCACCGAGCGTAGAAAGCCCAGATAGTTACTAACTAGAAACTTCATTTTATATTCTGGCTGAATATTGCATAACTTTAGTTAGATCGGATAGGACTAATACAGATAGTCATTTGTAGGCAAATTGGCATGAAACAGAAAGGCAGCATGAGGCAAATAGAAAACAAAGCAACCAACTAATATTGGCTAATGAATCCTCAAACCCTGGACAGAGTAGAGCTTATTGAGAAGAGATGCACCAGACATTTTTGTATTTCAGAGAGATGGGATGAAACCAAAAAACTCCACATTCAAATATCCTTGAAAACTGGGATACCTTGGATCCAGATCTGACTTTGCATCTGAGGCTCATCCATGATTTAATATTCTGATCTTCAAACTCCAAGTTTTTGGACTGTTTTTGACATGTCAGAGTCTCTCTCAAAAGCATAAGTATAATATTACTGTAGTCAAGTGACATGTCTACTGCTCTGCTACAGATATTTTTAATATCTAATGCTAGATTTCATTTCAAAGAAACAAACAATTTAAAAATCCAATATAACAGGACATAAGTCCAGTTCAATTTGTCAATGACTCCTGCAAGAGTCCAAGTAATCTCCCCCCACACACATTGGCAACAAGAATAAAGTCCTGTTTGACTCTGAATTTAATACATAATAAAAATGTAACATTTATTTTGGGGATAGATTTTGAAGCTTTCACAAGAGTTTCAAAAGTATAAAGTTATATCCCTTTTCCAAATGTTTAAGTCCTTGGAAAATATTTTGATTGCATTATTAGATGAACTTCTCATTGTTTGTCTGTGTGGCTGTAAATTGGTATCCTCTTTGAAATGGTTAAATCAGGAAATTTAACCATTTCAAAGAGGATACCAATTTACAGCCACACAGACAAACAATGAGAAGTTCATCTAATAATGCAATCAAAATATTTTCCTAGTTGAAAAGTTGCAACGTAGAGCCTTCCATATCGGTTTCTGGTTTTTCAGTACAGTCATAAAGGGTCTGACTCAAACCATTGAAGTCAATGAGCTTTGTATTAGGCCCAAACTTAGCTGGTATTAATGTAAAATCATAAAAAGTGACAGTCTCTAACACAACTCATAGTATATGAGCTCCAATCATCAGCAATTAATACTCTTTATTTTCCCTAAAAGTGCCCATACCAAACAGAAGATACAGCCAAGATGCTACATCTGACAGCTTTCCAAGTTGTGCAACATCCATGCCAAACAGCAGATACAAAGAAGATATTTACAACTCCAGCATCATGAAACCCAACAAAATGGAAAGCAGGATACATCCATCTCATCATCTCATTAAAGAAGAAAACAAGTTAGCTTTCAGCGGAGACCTACAAGAAAAAGTGTGTGTCAATGAAAAGTGTTTTTCAAACTCCATAGCTAATTCCTTGTTGCCAAAATCAGAATGTTTTCAGGCTAAAGCTATTGGACAATTAAGTCATCTCCTGCCAGTGCCAACAGTATATGAACAAACAAGGAGAATATGTATGAAAGAACCAAAATATGGGCATATTAACCATCATGCTATGAATCTGGATGAACTAGACAATGATGACAGAATGACAGTAAAGCTTGACCATGACTCTGAAAATGAACACATGATGGATACGAGAACTACTGGACAAGTCCCATTTGTATTTCTGAACTATCACCATGTTTTAGCCAAACATGGTACATTTCAAACCTCATCATGTACAGCAACAGGACATGTAGCAGAAAATTATGGATACACTTCTGAAGAGGTAAATACATTTATTTATAAAAACCAAAGTCCATCATCAGCCTCTTCTCCAGAAACCCACAAGGAGACTGCACTACCCCATTATATCGGAACTTCTGTAATAATAGCCAATGGGAGGTGACAATAATAGAAATGTATTTCTTAATTAAAAACAAACCCAAACTGTAATGATTTCTAAAAAGCATGAGAAAACATGGCTACATTTACTGAGCATAGCAGAAGGTCAATGAGGGACAAACTTGTATGTGTTCTTGGCAAGTAATGTGTTATAATACCTTCAAGGTCAGAAAAATACACATCTAGCTTCAGTGTTTCATTGTTACAGATAAATCTCTGGTGTAGACTCTGCCAGTAAGAAGCCATATAAAGATCAAAATTTTGTTATTTTACAGTGTGTAACAAAATTAAAGGGCAAATGTTCTATGCCCAGAATTATACAGAAGCAACTGTTTTTTTTCTTTTTTAAAAAACTAGGTCTCCAAAATATATTCAAGATTCTTACCATTAATATAAACCATAAAATTTTGTGGTTTATCTGACAAACACTGTGAAATACGAGAGCAATTTCCCAACCATGTTGTAAACAACCTGACAAATGAACTTTGTTTAAAAAATGATAATTAATCTTAAATATCCATGACATAATTGCATGAACTAACCACAAATCACATGGTCTTGGAATGCTTATTAATTATTTTAATAGTCTAAAACAAAGTTAGATAATTCTAGCTTTATGATATATTTTAAGAGTCAGGAATTCATAGCTTGTTGCTATTATTATGTATTCGAGAGGGATGATCAAAAGTCAAACTAGTAGACACAGATACAGATGAAAAAGTCTTGTCATAGCAAGATTGGCACAACATGAGATCACACTGCAAGGACTGAAAATTACTCCCAATAAAAAAATACTGTGATAAGAAATAACTTTTTCAAGTGTGCCACTGGATATACTGGGAGAAGATTGTGCACTTTTTCAAACAAACCATTCAAAAGACTGTCCTGATAGGAACATTAGAAATTTCTCATTTTAGACAGCAAAGGAAATAGTGAGGAGAATTCAGTGAAACTTTGCAAGCTTGGTTCGAAACTTGTCAGCACTTTCTAAAGTTTTGAAAAAGTTCAGGTTTTAGCAAACTGGACTTTCTCAAGGTTGAATTCTCCTCGTTGACCCCAAGTCAAGATTCAGGTTTCACAGATTCTCTCTCACCACAAAAAACTTTGATGGACAGTTTGGACACGAGAAACCACTGCAAGTTACAAAAAGCAGTTTGAGTACATTTGTGGTTAGATAGAGCTGAATATTTCGCACAGCTCTCATGGTTAGGTACAGTGAACTGTATCCAGGAAAAAGCATTTCAGATTAGCAGAAAATCCCCATTTACTCAGTTTTGTTTAGTATTTCCAATAAAGTACCAATTAGTTATTTTCACCTGTCCCTATGGTGTACAAATAAGGAGACATATGTATTTACAATAGAACCTCATTGTTACAAACACCAGAGTTATGAACTGACCAGTCAACCACCCCCTTCATTTGGAACTGCAAGTACACAATCAGGCAACAGTAAAGGACCCCCTACCACCACCAAAAAAAAAGGTAAATACAGTACTGTACTGTATTGAACGTAAACTACTAAAAAAATAAAGGGAAAGCAACATTTTTCTTCCACATAGTAAAGTTTCAGAGCTGTATTAAGTCAATGTTCAGTTGTAAACTTTTGAAAGAACCACCATAACCTTTTTGTTCAGAGTTGCAAACATTTCAGTTATGAACAATCTCCACTCCAGAGGTGTTCGTAATTCTGAGGTTCTACTGTATGTATGTTCTACAGAGAGTATACACGATCAGCATACACCACCTTCTCCATCACCTCCCCAAAAATTCTGTGTGTTCTTGATAAAATGACGAATGACTCCCTAAAATAACACGTATAAACATTAACAAGTACAAACAATGGAATCAGATGGTGTTTTATAGGAAGACTGCATTGTAAAGTTGAGTCAGCATTATCTAGCTTCTTTTTTTAGTTCCATTCAAGGCTAGATTACATATAAAAGCTTTTATCTGCCACAGCTAAATATAAATGTCTCATGCTCTGTAGGAGTATCTCTAAAGAAAGTACTCACATGGCTTGTGCAATATGGAAAAATACATGCTCATGGATTACACCTTATTAAAGACAAATATGTTAAAGGATGTAATAAAATGTATACATTTTTAATCAATAAAGCATTTTCTGTATTTCATACACAGCAACAAAATTCATTCGTTTTCCTAGGTTTTTATGAATATTAATTGATATAACAAGTAAACAAATGCTTTGAAGACGTGTTTAAAAAACAATTTTCAGTATTTTTACTGCCTTTCTATTAAAAGATGAATAGTATTGAGAAAGCGTTATTTTGCAATTCATTGGATGCACTGCACTTGCAAGTTCACAGTTAACTGAACTTTTAATTCGCTGACAGTGCTTTTTTCTCTGCCCCTGCATACTTTCACTGTGATGCTCAACAAAAATATTTCGTAGTAGTTAGTAGAATTTTGATGCCTTTATAAAAATGTTCACTGTAAATGCACTCTGTGCGTCTCTAAAGACGGAAAGCAGCCAGGTCTAAGGGAATTTTACAAGTGAATCCTATTACCGATATTGATATGATTAGTTACAAGTGCTTTGTTCTCATTGTTTAATTGACCTTCCAAACTAATGTCACTAATGTATGTATCCAACTTAATTCCTGGAAGAGTACAATGATGCCAAGACTGGTGTGTGTTAATTTTTTAAAATTAAAAATGTCCTGCAATGAGAAAACTGACATTGTCTACATTGTCAAGAAGAAACCTGATGCACAGCTCTCCCATATTACATTTTGCTATATATGTCAGTAGTACGGTGTACTGCACACAGAATCAGTCTAGTATATTTTTCTGTTCTCTTGAGTGGGTCTTCATTGTGAAAACATGATTTCAGAAGGTACAAGTTTGACTTTAGTTTTTGTTTTTTTGAAGTACAATACCACAAAGTACTTTCCAGCATCTTATTAGTTATTCACACTTTGCGGCTGTATTCAATGAATATGCGTTATGGAGGTGTTCCATCATTCTCTGGCAGATGTTTTACAATACATGAGGTTCTGAGACACAGAGGTTTATAGTGAGGAAATAGAGAATGAACTGTGCATTCACATATGATAATGTGGATTAAGTTTCAGAACATATATTTGTGACTAAAAAAACAAATGTCCATCATTTCCCCTGGCCACCCCAAAATAGAAACACTGATTGCATATTCACATCTGGAACATGAATGAAGAATTCTATAAAGAAGTAGGAGTTCAGATATATACTTTGAGACAGTTAAACTACAGATGTTCACTGTGCATACTCAGCGCAGTATATGGTACAAGAATTGATGCTTTTTTTTTTTTTTTTTTTTTTTTTTTAACTATTAGGGAAAATATTCCATCTAAGTGGAGTGTGAATCAGAATATATTAGGGAAAAAACCATTTCATTTCCCTTCTTTCTGCCTTATTCATTTGAGTCAGAAATACCTTCATTGTGCAACTTCACAGATTTTTTTCCACCTCTTAGGGAGTTCCTGGCACGGCAAAGAAACTTCGTAAAGCAAAATACAGAGTTTTAATGAAGAGTGAAATTGGAAACATTAATCACTTATTAGTGTCTCAAAATCTGTATGCTATTAGCATAGTTATCACAACACTTGTAAGTGCAGTGACACACTTTTCTATTGAATACAGCCCTGAACTTTCTTAAGAGTTATTCAGCAGATTTACTCATTCTAAAACACAGCGAAATATGCACAACGTACAGGTTAGAAAATATAGCTCACACTCAAAAAAGATGCTATTTTTATGAAAGAATGGGATATCTGCTGGAATATTGGTACTTGTCTGAAATTCACAAAATGTGACAGTAAATGTAATTTTTCAATCCATCTCAGTTATTTCTCAGAACAAATGTGTCTGAGTCCACTTTTTTCCTGGAAATTTTTTTTTAAAAATATGATGCAGAAATGAAATATTTGGCAAATACTTGTGAAAAGTAAAGAAAAATACAAACACACTATTAATGCTCAAAATTATGTATGTACTTCCTAAAAATATAAAGCATATTTTGCTTATTATATAAAACAAAACTGTTAAAATGTTAATAAATACTGTAGTCAAAGGAGTAACGGTTTTGATCTTTTTAAAATACAAGCATAAGGGATCATTAAGAATGACAGACACACAGTGGAGATTTTTTTGAGTATGTAGAGTTTTTAATTGTAATCATAGATTTGACAACATTAACTTAGATTATTCTTTCAAACTATAAAATGCAAAGATTTAACTTATTTTATTCCAACTATGCATTGCTGTTTTCTAGAAATAGCTTTATCTTTAAGGACTGAAAATAACCCTATCTGCTGAATAAAACCTACCAATGGAGTATTTTAAATCCATCACCAATTTACAGCATTTGTTTGCAACTCCTTTTCCTAAACTATTTGTGGGGCTATAATGTGTTAATTGTTATAATTCTTTGGCTTTTGTTCTCACCTACGTCCCATCTGTTAATGGTGAGAAAGCAACTTCACCGCAGCTTTAGCACGATGGTACCGGCCCACTACAGTAACATAAAACACTGCTGAAAAATGCATGTGTGCTCCACAAATACAGCTCACCAGGAAATCAGCTAGTTTTAGTAGGTTCTAACCCCACTGAAAGACATCAGCTGAACTGAAGCACGAGTTATGTACTATTCCTTTCCATGACAAATATTTTGGAGCTGTATTTTCTGCATAACTATATGTCCCATCATAGTTTCCCAACTAGTTTCAGAATTGTAATTTTTCAAATTACTATGGTCCTGTGACTGAATCAAAAAGAGCAAAATATCTTTAACTACCCCACCCCGCCAAAAAACCACCAAAACCAAAATATTTTCTTACCTGCAATACTTGAGCTGCAGCATAAAGATTTAAACATTTTTCAATACAATTTCTAGATAACAGCCCTTGAGGTCTATTAATCTCACAGGATATATATTTCAAAATGCACCAAACGCTTATAAATCATCAGAACAGGAGTGAGATTTGTGCAGATCTTGGACTCTTAATTCTAAGTGCCTGATATAATTTTAAAAATACTGGAAATGGTATCACTTCTATCTGGATAGGACTCCCTATCTCACTCTTTCCAAAGAGACAGACATACACCTTCTCCACCCCACCCCCACTTGCTCAGCAGAAGTTTTGCTATCAATATACAATCGCTATAGCTATTTTCACATCTAATGAGTTTTATAACTGAGTCCAGCGGAGAAAAGCTCAAATTGCAAGAAATATGGATACCATAATGAAATATTTTGGACAGCACTTCATCAAGAAAATCATTTGAGATGTGACCTCAGCCTAAAAATGAAATAGGTGTTTTACTAATCTGGACATTTTAATAAGAACACATTTTCAGTGTGATACTTCTAGCTTTTTGGGATGGTTGACTTTCTACCTTTGCCCATATATATTTCTATGCTTTATCTAATTTGTATAGGGCTTTTTTAATAAAAAAAGGTAGTTGTCATACAAAAACTCTGAGACACTTTTTTTTGACAAGTTTGGCACAAAAACAATGAGATTACCGACTGTGTTCCCCATATACCTTAAGATGAGTGTAGAATAAAAAGGCTTTCTTGACAGTAACAGCTGCTGGTCAGAATGGACTTACTCAGCTGTTCTGTATAAAACAGGAATTTGCTTTGTAAAATTCTATGGTACATCTGAAGCAAAAATCAGGTTTATGACAAATATTTCATCCATCTGAAGGCTGTTTTTCCCTCTCAAGACAATAGGCAGTCTTGTACATACAAGAACAAGCCATTAAAAAGCGTAAAGGAAAAGTAGTATTCCCACAAGATCTACTTGTGCTCTGACATGTCCACACTTCATTAGTTTTCATTTACAAAAAGGAAATTAAATAAATTTTCCGATGCAGACACGTCCAGAATAGCATTACAGTGTAAAACATAAACAAAACATGGTTTTCATTAAGAACCCCCCACAGAAATCCAAAAAGCAATGATAGGAGCTATGAAAAACTGTTGGCATTTTATTATATAGTTAAAGATATATATCTGCCTGCTCTACAGGTCCTGTGGCATTGCAGCTAAGTGAAGTTTTATAGACACTCAGCTCTGCCCACAAGAAGGAGTATGTTTTCCCCCTTAGTCTTTTTATTGGGATAATGTGTCTATTGCAACATGCATGCAAGTGGGTCTTTGTCCGGCTAGCTGGAGAAAAAGGGGTGTTGCCCCTTTAACGGCTCCCTTTCAGCAGATGAGGAGAAAGGGGAAGTTTACAGGTATGGACAGGAAGGGCAGAAAGCAGTTGGGGCCAGGTCAGTTGAGGGTGCTGCATTACCCTCCTGCTGACCGAAACAGTGTGTGTGGGGGTGGGGATAGGGAATATTTATACCCATGCAGCCCCACCAAACCATGTGGGCAGGCCTATATTCCTATGCAGAGTCCCAAAGAAGTCAATGATGCTCTAGGAAGGCATACAGGTCTGCATCAGTACATCTGTATGCAGAAAGAGGTTTTTGTAAAGTGTTACATGGGCTTAAACTGCACATTTTGGACCTAGATGTTGATCAAAACGTTCCCAATGTTTTGGGGTGTTTGTATCCAGGGTTTTGGATCAGTCCATGACCGAGATCAGGGCAGGCCACCACGTTCAAATCTGGATCCAAATTTCCTGAAGTTTGGGTGTATTTCAGTCAGGGGATTGTGGTTCAGGTTTATCTCTATTATAAAGTTTATGATTTCATATGGAAATTTTCGGAACTACTACTGTTGCTATTGATCCTACTACAGTATGGGCCATATATTGTCACATTTCAAATGTAAGTCACATTCAGATCAACTCTGCTTAGACAAAAATAATCAGTGGTATGATATGGCCCTACGTATGTTAATTCTGCTTTACAAAAAGGTTGCCTGACTGTGCCCTGATAGTGACAGTCGGGTTTTATATTAAGGACTGCAGCACAAACAGCAGTTTTCTAGAATTAATTCAGCGATACAATAGTCAGATTGGGAATGTAACTGCTCTGCATTAAAGGAAGGTTTTCATGATGAAATAAACCAGACCAAGAAGCACCAAGAGCATTGCTGAATTTTCTTTTCACTATTTATAGCTGGGGATGCTGGCAAGGAGTAAAAAGCAATACCAAAATTCTGCCTTCTGCAGTTGATAAGTAGCAACATGCATCATTTGTAAGCTGTATAAAGAAAAGGCAGAGAAGAAGAGACCACCACACTGCAAGAGTTCCTCTCAGTATTTAAGATTAGTAGCTCAAACTTAAATTTGAGAATTAAAAATAAATAATCATGTATATCTATCTGTAAGTCAGTAGTCAAAAGTTCCCAGCCCAAAGCAGTATTAAAATTAAGCTTTTTTTCTTTCTAACCAAGGTCTTGTGAGAGGGAAGTTGGGTATTATTGTTTACATATAGTATATTAAATATGAATTATTAAATAAGTCATTCAATATTTAGTCTCTATTGTGTTACTTCTATCATTTTTTTCGGTGTGCAGTCCTGTCTGAGGTAAGAAACTGACTCTTTTGGAAGGCAGAAGTGAAAGAAACTATGACACGGAGGTCACAAGCCTCACTTTAAATACACAGAAAACTTAATTGCTAGCAATTTACCAACAAAGCAGCCAAATTCCAGTAAGTAAGGATTACTCTAATCTACCATTACAGGCCAATTCTCCTTTAAGATTTCTTGGATTTGTAATTGAGCTGATCTCCTTATATTGGTTATTTACGAAGTGAACTTTAACCCATGAATTCCATTTCTGGCTAAAAGACAGGAATGTATTTGTGAGAACCCACTTGGCTGAGCCAAGCATCCTAAGGGAAGGGTGTAGTAATAACCAATGGCAGTCCACATTAGGAGACATAGCTGGCTATTGGCCAGGTCACACCTGACATCTATTGGTGTGTGGTGGTTGGCTTGAGGTCATTGCTCAGGTGACCAAGCTGTAAATGAAAATTTGACTGGTCCAGGAGAAGAACCTGAAAGCATCTCCATGCAGTTGGGAGCTCAAGTTCAGCTTCTCGCCTATGCCCTCCAGTCACCTACTGTCTTATCTACTGTATCTGACCCAACCTGTACAGCAATTAGGTAAGGTTGGAGGCTGCACAGCAGGGCACTTTCAAGTAAACAATCAAATCCCTTGGGTTCAATTAACACCACTGGAATAGGAGGCTTGCTTTGGGAAATAGTATGAAAGTACAATAAAAGAGATTTGAGAGAGATGGTTGGAACAGAGGCCCCCTCATTGTGCTTTTCTCACTGGAGTAGTTGCTAGCAGAGGAGACCTTAAGAACAAGTTTCCTTCTCTTATTTCATCATTTGGATGTGGTTCACCTCTCAGGGATTGAGTGAAGTACAGTCAACACTGATATCAATTCGTGGACTGAGGATTTGATGGCCAGTAACATAGAGGATGACAACTAAGTGATTCACTAATTGCATATGTGGTGGGTAATTCTTGTGGAGGGTTAAGAGCTCTTGAAAGAAAGACCATGATACAAGGAGGCATGGGGTGATTTACTAAGAATCAGAGCTAGTTAACAGGCTAAGAAAAGCAGAAAAGATCTATATCTCGGGGGTTATAAATGAACCCAGTTCACAGGCACTGCTGGTGGGGATGTCCAAGCATAAGGCCACCATAAGAGAGGTGCAAAGGGCCTACAGGCCAGAGATCCAGTTACAGAATGATGAAAGGAAATAGAAGCGCACAGGGAGCAGAACCGAATCAGCAAAGTTTCTCATTATTTCTAAAGGGTGGGAGGGACTATTATCTAAGCATGCAGTGAATACACAGTTAACTTAATAAACTTGCAGAATTCTTGCCACTTTCCCTTATGGGTGTCTGGTGAGTTCTTCCATGTGTCCTCCACAGCTGACATAAGCAGAACTCATTTCTTTAAAATTTCATAATAAGTAATTTAAACTTTTTACTGCTTATACCCAAAGCAAAACCACAACAAATGCATTATTCAAACACATTTTTTTTTAAAAATATATACAGTCTTTTTAGTTTCTTAAATATATTGAATTAATGAGCTTAACATCTTCCTTTGCAAATACCTCCCTACTGTAAATGCTTATAACAAACAATAACATTAGTGAATTTTTTTTTAAAAAATGGCCATTAGCAAAAGATTATGGGTCTCCAGTAATGGGATAACACTAACTTTTGTAGCAACTTTCAGCTAAGCTATCCAGGTTAAGAAAGAAGAAACTAGAGATTGGTAAAAAGTTGATTTCTCCTAATCATAAGCTACCTCTCACCTCTATGCTTAAAAATATGCAACATGAAAAATGCATAGAAAATACTAACTGGTCCTTAAGGCCACTGGCTAGAAAACTCAGCAGAAATGAAACAATAATGTAAAATGCTATATTTAGCTTCTACACTTCACCTCCAAATCATTCCAGTTTGATATATTGTGTATAGCCAAGATCAGCTGCTAGGTGCTGAAAACTGAACAGTCTTCTTAGAGCAGCTTTTTCACCAAATCCAAGGTCTACCGCTGCTTTGAGATAATAAGGTTTTTCAGCATGTCAAATGAGTTGCCATCTGGATGCACAGACTCTACACCTTTTCCTTCCTCATGAACTTGAAGGAATCCACAATCATCGATTCCAACTATCCACGCTAATGGGCCCTCTTCACTCCAGAGACGGACTTGCCTACCACTACAAAAAAAAAGAAAGCACCAGTTAATTACTTAAAAATAAACTTGAATATGTCACAAAAATAATCGATTATATTATTACATGTGAACTTTTCCCTCCTCTGAAACAAAACGAAAATGAAACAATGGTTGAAATTCACCAGAGCTGGTTGTGGATTTTATATCAGTTATGAAAACAATTCAACAAGGATGACTAACAGCAATCATGATAAATAGTATAGGGAGAGCACTGAGTCTCTTCTATTAAAGACAGTGTTATTCCTCATTTCTCTCAATCTTTAGAGATAATAATGACCTTCAGTAGAGCTCCTTTATTGTCTCCTTAGACCCCTTTTGCAGAATGCATGATTAATTCACACTATTTTTACAACATAATTTTTGATAAATTAGTACAGCACAACTTCAACATAAGCAAAACAAATAGCTATAAAACCCTAAATATTCTCATTGTTTCATGAGATGATACATGCAAGATTCCTAGCAACGTTTTGTAACAAATGCCAATACATTAAAATTTTGATCTATGCTATTCTAACACCAATATAAATACTGAAAATATGCTCTTAAGTAAAACCCAATTAAGTCACTACTGCTTTAAAAGGCTATCTAGTGGAACATTCACAGTGCAAGGCAAGACATCTATGAGTTATTCCTAATTCTCTGAAGGGAGAGTTTAGGAAAAGATGAATAGAAGAGACAGCTATACTTACGCATGTATCCAGTGTTTATAATATAAGGGAAGAACTCCATCAGGTCCTTTCTCCTGAAATGTTTCAATCAGTCTTTCCAGCACAGTTACACTCCTAGCAATCAGGTAGTCTGCTGTTAAGGACTTTAGTTTTGTCATATTTTTCTTATTGTACTCCATGATGAGATCATTGATGCATATGGTGGGATTGCTATTATTCACATTAAATCCCCAGCCTGAGGAAGAAAAATCAAGAGTGCGGAGTAGGAAATGTTGACTATTTCTTATCATATAACAAACGCATTTGCACTTTCTTCAACCTTTTGGTGCAAAGCTTTCTAAAGATTTTCATAAATGATTTTCCCATCATTGTACAGTTTTTCATCAATATCTTGCATTCCCAAATCTATGTATGCAGCTAATTACACTCAGAGCCCAGTTAACATTTATGTCCACATCCTCCCTTAAACTCCTTTCTGCCAACAAATGCCAGTTCAAATAGCCCCAATACAGTCCCATCAAGAAAATGCCATCCTACCAGACTGCTAACTTGTGACTAAAGTGAAGATTTAGGAATAAGGAAAGTGCTAGCTGGGCTGTCTAGATTGCCAGTAAAAAACTGAAAATCCCTGAAATTGTGGTATTGACAGCCAGCTACCAAACTATCTGAAAGCAGACGATTAACCGCACTACAAATCTAGCAGCCTAGAATGTGACTAACAGTCTCTTCTATTTACTACACTTAACTGATTTCACATTCTGAAAAATAAGTCTTTTTTCCTCAGCTCATAAGTCAGCAATTGGCTTTCTGGGAAAAGCCCGGAAGAGTCAGACTTTCAGGGTTAGATTCCAGATAGTTTAATCTGTCTTGCCATAATATCCTTTTGAAGCCTCAAATTTCTCACTGAGATCTCTCCAGCTAGGATAATGTTGGCAAAAAGCCATTCTTATTATATGGCTCTTGGGGACCTTTCTTGCAGCCTCCTCAAACAGGCTTTGAGAGATGTAAAAAAATCTTGTATTAAACTATTTATTTCCTCCTTCCCACCATATAATGTGGATTTTCCTTTCCCTGTGCAGTTAGGCCAGACTTGTCACTCAGGCTCAAGAGTAAACTGGCTTCTTCCGTAGGAAGCTGTAGGTTACATTATTTTATAAACTTGATGAGATCATGAAAACAAGGAATTAATTCACCCAGAATTACCTGGAGAGAGAAGGTTCTCTTCAGGAACTAAATTACTTTTTTTTTTTTTTAAACAATAACTAGAATATGCACACCCAAGAAAGATCTACAGTAACATCCAGCCAAAACATATCAATACCACTGGAACTAGGGAGAAGTGGATTATCTAACAAGAAAATGAGAAAAATTAACACACTATGCTAAAAAGTAACAACTCAAACACAGGTATTTTCACTCAAACATATACATGAATAAAGACCCTAGCCACTAATGTACTATCAATTTCAAGATTTTTTTTTCCAAAAACTGTGACAGCAAGAGAGAAATCACCACCTATCTTACAGAGCCTGACAAACGTGAACGGAGGATCAGACTGAAGCCTCAGAAATCTCTTCATAGGATATATGAAATTAGTGACCTGTCATGGTTAGAAAACCTGGTAATGCCAGTCAGTCAAAGAGTTTGTCTTTGGCCTTGTATGCTTCTGAGATGGACACTTAAATTCATCTAGCTACCCTGGCAGAGAGGATCTTTGTCCTGATATAAACAACGAGGAGTCCGATGGCACCTTGAAGACTAACAGATTTATTTGGGCATAAGCTTTCATGGGTAAAAAACCCACTTCTTCAGATGCATGGAGTGAAAATTACAGATATAGGCATAAATATATTTTGGCACATGAAGAGAAGGGAGTTACCTTACAAACACGGCTACCCCTCTGATAACCTAATCCTTCTAACCCTAATATCAAACTATCAGTTGTTTTATTAGCTGAAAAATGCAGGCTTTGGTGGATCCAAGACTTCCTGTGAATTTGACACGAATTTGTGGAATAGTTTCAACCAAAAGGTTTTTGGACAAGATTCTCAATGGAATCTTAGAATCCCTTAGAATCCCTTTCAGAAAACAGGAGAAATAGCCCTCCCTTTCTCTCCACTCATAACTAGGGTTAGAAGGACCTTCCATTCTCTTGCATAGACTGCGTAGACCATTGGTCCTTCATCAGTTGAGACTGAGCCGATCACAACACGTCTTCCAATCTTCTCTCGCTCTGGCCATCCTTCGCCATGCTTGTCCATATCTCCTTGTTAGGAAGTCATCCCACCTCTTTGGAGGCCGACCGCATGGCCATTTCTGTTCTCATGGATACCACTCAGATATAGCTGCGGTCCATCAGCTGTCGCTGAGTTGGGCCACATGTCCTGCCCACCGCATTTTTCTGAGCCTGCTTTCGACAACGTCTCGCACTCCAGACTGCTGCCTAATTATTTCACTGGGGATGTGACTGCGGAGTGAAATGCCCAAAAAAGTTCGTTCCATCACCCACTGTGTGACAGATAGTTGATGTTCTTCAATCTTTGTCAGCGACCATGTTTCACTGCAATATAACATCGCTGGAAGCACGGTCGAGTTAAAAGGATTCGCAAGAGTTGTTCTGCTGACCTTTCCTTGGAGGATGTCCTTGATGTCACTGAATGTGCACCATCCAGATTTTTTTCTGCGTGACAGTTCGCCTTTCTGATCATGGCGCATGTTGACTTCCTGGCCCAAATAAATGTATTTATCAACCTCTTGGATTTGCTCTCCTCCAAGAGTTATTTGGGTTCTTGGCAGAATATCTGACCTCATGTATTTTGTTTTTGACCAGTTCATTTTTAATCCAACTTGACTACTTTTCGCGTTCAGTTCTTTAAGCATTCTCTCAAGCTGGGCTGTATTTTCAGCTCTCAGAACTATATCAACTGTGAACCTGAGATGGTTTAGCCGCTCGCCGTTGAGATTAATCCCGCCATTTTCTTAAATTCATTAAAAAAGAAAATTGCCTTTCAAAGGTATGAGTTCAACACAAGATGCAATGGCTGCAACTACGTTGAAGAGAAAAGGAATGACTGTTTCAAAGGGGTAGCCGTGTTAGTCTGTATCAGCAAAAACGACACCACCACAAGGACTCCTCATGGTTTTTGACTTAAACTGTGTAACTTGTTTAGATCTTTAAGCCAGCTGGGTAGGAACCAGGTCTTCATTCGCTCTGTAAAATACTGTGCACATATGTTGTGCTATGCACCAATACTAAACAATAATAATAATCTCCCTGGCTTAACCTTCTGGATTTGTCAAGGAACTTCCATGTAGTTTTTAGACTTTAAAGAACTGCTTTGAGGAGGCAGGACATTCTGGAATTCCCTACAGAGCAGAGTTTGGTCCTGAGCACATAACAGATCTATTCTACTCCTTACTTCATGGAGAAGGGAAAAGAGACAGCGTGCTTATAGACAGGAAAAAACATTAAAAAAATATAGTAAACTTTTCTCTATGGTACCCTACCTTTGTGACTCAATGTGAAAGAAAATTTTCATACCTGTTAATTTTAATTCTTTAAAATCTTCTATATCAGTCCTGATGCTTGTGTTTAGCGTCTCCTGGCCAGCCGTATGGAATGTTACAGATCACTGAAGACATTTATTTTTTGTGTTTTGTGAATATCATGGTTTACCCACTTCTCATTTGCTCTTGTTCTTGTAGTTTGAACTTGTATAGGACATTAAGAATAGTTAAATAGCTTTAGAAAAAATGGCCTGACAAGCCTGAAAATAATTTAGACACTTACCAATAAGTATGTGAAATGTGTCTCCCATAAGTGTAGAATTTACCAGAACCCCGCCAAGCTTCATAAGGTCACTGTAGTAAATATCATTTGGCCACTTCACTCGCAGGTCAATATCCTAAAGAAATAAATGTATACGTATATAACCATATTATGCTGTTCTTTTATAAAGACTCTGCCATCACTCAGTATTTCTGCAAATGCCATCTCTCTCTGATAGCTTGGAACATGATAAATTAGTTCTTTCTTAATTAAAGTAGATCAAAATGCTTTACATAGCAATGAGTCAGACACAGAACTATATTTGAATTTGAGTTTTTATGACTAAGCACACATTTGAGGTACTCTGGTAAGTATAACAACATTAAGATGGAAACTCATGACTGCCAAAAATCCAAATATCAAAGAGAAAGTTGGTATTTTCACCTCGAAAGACTCTTTTCCATTCTTGAGGCTTATTCCTCAACCCCAAAGAAAGTAAATATCTGAAGGGGAATCTGCATCCTCAGGACTCAGCCCAAGTTTCGTGGTGGTTTATTATGAAGGTTGGCAGCAATCACAGAGGGTTGAGAGTAGTTATTTAGTAATAAGCTATACAGTAGATACTAATGGCTCACAGGACCTATACATAATCAAAAATAGGGACTGCAAAGTGACTTGGCAGAGGTCTTCCCTGAAAATCTCAAAATCACAGACAATAGGTGATTAACCATTGGAACAATTTACCTAGAGTTACGGGGATTATCTATAACTGGCAATTTTAAAATCAAGATTGGATTTTTTTAAGCAAAGAAACTAAAGTTCGAAAAGAATTATTTGAGGGAAATTCCTTGGCTTATGTTATATAAGTGAGACTACATGATCACAATGGTCCTTTCTAGGCTTTCGATCTATTAGTCTACGAACAAATTTGTTGCATTTCTTTATTCACCATAAAAATCTGTTTCAGGATAGAAATGATCTATTAAATAAAGACAATCAACTTTGCTAAACACATCTAGAACTGCCCACAATGAACACATCTAGAACTGCCCACAATGAACAGAACAAGGTTCTTGCAGAAGTCAGACAGGGAGGCAATGACATCTTGAAGATCAGGGAGGAAATTTACTAGTCAGGAAAAAATTCCAGTTCACAACTAACTATGTAAATAGTCCTAAAAATATTCATATTTTATGCAGCTATGTTCAATTTATACCATGGTATTGGAAACACAAACTGCATCATAGGACACCAGTCCATCGCAAATAGAGAAGTTTTTGTTAAAGCCACAGAACGGAATTAAACTTTGCACCAGCTACTTAAATGTAAAAAGAAAGCAAATGTGCTTCCTGGAGCTTAAAAAACTGCATATGACTGGATCCCAAGAGGCAAATTATGGGAGGTGCTCCATGAGTACAAGAATCTGGTTACACCCTCTCCTTCTGTAGATTACAGAATCCTTTTACAGGGCGTGTGAAAACTGCACCTGGGTCTATGTCTACTTTTCTGAGAGATTTAAAGGCCAGGGAGGGTTCCATGACACAGATGTCTCTGCCTATCTGTACAGGAAATGCTAACTTATTCTGGTATCATAAGGAATTGTAACAGACCATCACTAGTTCATATTCATTACCACAAGCACTTGACTATCCACATTTCAATGCAGATTTTGAGAAGATTCTTGGGACACACAGTTTTCAAAGCATGCCACAGCTAAGCCATTCAGCATGTCAGGATTAACAGATCTTCTTAAGGCATCCTGTGCAGGCCATTTCTCTCTGAGTAAATGAACTGTAACAGACTCAGGAGTTCAAAAAAATACACACTGCTAGCTTGCCTACATGGGGAAGTGAGTGTGGAATAAGTTAGGGTGTGAATTTAAAGTGCAAGAGCCATTTCACACTGACTCCACTTTAAGCTTAACCACACGAAAAGGCACTCTTAGTCCAGAATAAGAGTGCCACATGGTGAGCTAGGGTAACACAGCAACTGTGCTTTAAATTCACACCCCAGCTTGTTCTGCACTAACTTCCCATGTAGATAAGCCAATAGATTACAGACATTTGTACTGCTAAGGAACTAACTGCTGGATATGGAGAACAGCAGATATTTCTACAATAGTACTAATTTTCAAGATGAACTATAGTGGTGACATGAGATTTTTGTTGTAATATAATGAGGCAAGATGAGCTGCTGCATAACTACCGTTGTTTCCAAAGGATTTACTGTCAAAATATAAAATACAATGCATTATTTGGCACTGATTTAGTTGGTTACATGTAATGGTGACACGTGTCATTTTTATTTATAAGTTACATAGTGGCTCCTAAATATTGTTCTGAGACAGGAACAGTAGAAAATATACAGTACATAAGGTTTGTTTGTATTCAGAGCACTGTCATCTGCAAATGAAACACTGAATTGAACTGTCAGATTTTCCCATTGAGAATCCAGAACTGTGGACAGTAGCTTGAACTGCTGTCCATTTAGAACTGTGAACACTAAAGACAAAGCCCTAAAAATGACTGATTGATAAACTGAGACACATACATTTGATACTTTTGTATGAAAATTCTGGAATGGAATTTGAGCATAACAAACCACATTAAAAGTATGTTAATGTAATAATAAAGGTCTGACTTATGCAAAAAGGTATGGAAATGTAGAGCTAAGATTGAAACCTTATCCATAACTTAGCCCATTGTTCCTAGCTACTGAAGCTCATATGGCATATATGTTCATCCACCATGTGGAGAGCCTTGCATTACCCTAGGTCCAAAGGGTCAATTTAAGCATAGAGTTTCAGATTTAACTTTGAATTTCTTTGCTTTCATAGATTTGAGTCAGACTCTTAACATTGTTTTAATCCACTGTCTGTGTTTAATTTCCTTTCTTTAAAAAAATCTCAAAGGAAGTACAGAAAATCCTTTCTTCCACTGAGTTCAGGACGATGACAAACTGTCAAAGCATATTTAGTGATTCCTCTTAATTTAGTGATCACTGACATGATGGAATTTAATAGCTCCAACTATGTATTTAATTCATTCTTGGGTGGGGCAGTTTCTTTCAAGATAAATTCAACTTCTTTATGGTCAGAACAAGCTATTATAAAAATATAAATGTATACTTGGTAGACTCAGCTATGTGTGTTATTGACACAATTATTCCTTCTGTGTTAATATTATCATGTATTATCTCAATCAAGTTAGTACTCCTGAATGGACTAATTTTTTTAAAAAAAGAATTAATTGAAAAGTAGCCACTCTATATGCCACAATATGAAGAGGAGTGCAGAAACAAAAAGATTCTTAAACTATTATGTCTATTTTTGCTTTTGGACTCATACTTTAAACAAGTAACCCCTCTCCCCCTTTTATTTTCAATAGTTAAAAATATTGACCTCCCCAACCAAAGATTTTGTATTGCAAATTTCAGTCTGGAGCAATTTTTACAGTCAAGTTATGAAGTGCTGAAGATAGGAAGTTTTAATAGAAGGGCTGACAGACCCTAAACTACAGCAAAGCTACGGGTGCCACTATAATAAAGTTCATGTGTAAATGTGTATAAGACATTCATTTTGAGTAATATAGGAAACATGTGCTTTAGTTAACTACTTCTGTAAAATACCAAAGTTTTATAGTTAGCAAATATTAGAATATGGTAATATTAAAAAAAGAGATGAGGTGAAGAAGAAGATTGGTTCTTCATTTGAACACTGATGACAGGACGTTTGATTCCCTCCTGAGAGCAATACTCTTAACTTTTTCTTTAAAAATCAGTTTTCAACCTTCAAAAGGAGCTGGAAAAAATCCTTTAAAAGGGGCCAAGTGGCCACTGAAATGCACCAACAAAAGAAGCATTTATCAGTTTTTCTTCTCACTTTTCCTCAATATTTTCATAACCAAAACAAATAAATCCAACAGTTAGACAAAGCAAAAGGTAAATCCAGCTTCAGGGTATGTCTACACTACAAAATTAGGTCGAATTTATAGAAGCCAGTTTTGTAGAAAGTGTTTTTATACAGTCGATTGTGTGTGTCCCCACACAAATGCCCTAAGTGCATGTTGTCGGTGGAGAGTGTCCACAGTACTGAGGCAACCGTCGACTTCCAGAGCACTGCACTGTGGATAGCTATCCCACAGTTCCCGCAGTCTCCGCTGCCCATTTGAAATCTGTGTAGAAATCCCAGTGCCTGATGGGGCTAAAACATTGTCACGAGTGGTTCTGGGTACATATCATCAGGCCCCCGTTCCCTCCTTCCCTCCATGAAAGCAAGGGCAGACAATCGTTTCGCGCCTTTTTTCCTGAGTTACCTGTGCAGACGCCATACCACGGCAAGCATGGAGCCCGCTCAGCTAACCGTATGTCTCCTGGGTGCTGGCAGACGTGGTACTGCATTGCTACACAGCAGCAGTTTATTGCCTTTTGGCAGCAGACAGTGCAGTATGACTGGTAGCCGTCATCGACATAGTCCTGGGTGCTCTTTTAACCGGGTGCCTGGGCAAACATGGGAGTGATTCAGCCAGGTCATTTCCCTTGTTTCGTCTCGTGGCGATTCAGTCCCGCACTGTCTTTTAACCTGCAGCTAGCAGAAGATGATGGCCAGCAGTCATACTGCACCGTCTTCTGCCGAGCACCCAGGTGTTGACGATGGCTAGCAGTCGTACTGCACAGTCTGCTGCCAGCAAGATGTATAAAGATAGATGAAGTGGCTCAAAACAAGAAATAGACCAGATTTGTTTTGTATTCATTTTCTCCTCCCTCCCTCCCTCTGTGAAATCAATGGCCTGCTAAACCCAGTTTTGAGTTCTATCCCTGAGGTTTTGAGTTCTATCCTTGAGGGGGCCATTCAGTTTCTCGCAAAGCCACCCCTTTTGTTGATTTTAATTCCCTGTAAGCCAACCCTGTAAGCCATGTCGTCAGTCACCCCTCCCTCCATCACGGCAACGGCAGACAATCGTTCCGCGCCTTTTTTCTGTGCAGACGCCATACCACGGCAAGCATGGAGCCCGCTCAGATCACTTTGGCAATTAGAAGCACGTTAAACACCACACGCATTATCCAGCAGTATATGCAGCACCAGAACCTGGCAGAGCGTTACTGGGCGAGGAGGCGACGTCAGCGTGGTGACGAGAGTGATGAGGACACGGACACAAACTTCTCTCAAAGCACGGGCCCTGGCAATGTGGGCATCACGGTGCTAATGGGGCAGGTTCATGCGGTGGAATGCCGATTCTGGGCTCGGGAAACAAGCACAGACTGGTGGGACCGCATAGTGTTCCAGGTCTGAGACGATTCCCAGTGGCTGCGAAACTTTCGCATGCATAAGGGCACTTTCATGGAACTTTGTGACTTGCTTTCCCCTGCCCTGAGGCGCAAGAATACCAAGATGAGAGCAGCCCTCACAGTTGAGAAGCGAGTGGCAATAGTCCTGTGGAAGCTTGCAACGCCAGACAGCTACCGGTCAGTTGGGAATCAATTTGGAGTGGGCAAATCTACTGTGGGGGCTGCTGTGATGCAAGTAGCCAACGCAATCAAAGATCTGCTGATATCAAGGGTAGTGACCCTGGGAAATGTGCAGGTCATAGAGGATGGCTTTGCTGCAATGGGATTCCCTAACTGTGGTGAGGCCATAGACGGATCCCATATCCCTATCTTGGCACCGGAGCACCAAGCTGCCGAGTACATAAACTGCAAGGGGTACTTTTCAATAGTGCTGTAAGCACTGGTGGATCACAAGGGACGTTTCACCAACATCAACATGGGATGGCCGGGAAAGGTACATGATGCTCGCATCTTCAGGAACTCTGGTCTGTTTCAAAAGCTGCAGGAAGGGACTTTATTCCCAGACCAGAAAATAACCGTTGGGGATGTTGAAATGCCTGTAGTTATCCTTGGGGACCCAGCCTACCCCTTAATGCCATGGCTCATGAAGCCACACACAGGCAGCCTGGACAGTAGTCAGGAGCTGTTCAACTACAGGCTGAGCAAGTGCAGAATGGTGGTAGAATGTCCATTTGGATGTTTAAAGGTGCGCTGGCGCAGTTTACTGACTCGGTTAGACCTCAGCGAAACCAATATTCCCACTGTTATTACTGCTTGCTGTGCGCTCCACAATATCTGTGAGAGTAAGGGGGAGACGTTTATGGCGGGGTGGGAGGTTGAGGCAAATCGCCTGGCTGCTGGTTATGCGCAGCCAGACACCAGGGTGGTTAGAAGAGCACAGGAGGGGGTGATGCGCATCAGAGAAGCTTTGAAAACCAGTTTCATGACTGGACAGACTACGGTGTGAAAGTTCTGTTTGTTTCTCCTTGATGAAACCCCCCACCCCTTGGTTCACTCTACTTCTCTGTAAGCTAACCACCCTCCCCACCTCCCTTCGATCACCACTTGCAGAGGCAATAAAGTCATTGGTGCTTCACATTCATGCATTCTTTATTCATTCATCACACAAATAGGGGGATAACTACCAAGGTAGCCCAGGAGGGGTGGTGGAGGAGAGAAGCACCAGAAGGGGTGGTGGAGGAGGGAAGGAGGAGGGAAGGACAGCACTTTAAAAGTTTAAAACTTTAAAACTTATTGAATGCCAGCCTTCTGTTGCTTGGGCAATCCTCTGGGGTGGAGTGGCCAGGAGGGCCCCCCCCCCACCGCGTTCTTGGGCATCTGGGCAAGGAGGCTATGGAACTTGGGGAGGAGGGTGGTTGGTTACACAGGGGCTGTAGCGGCGGTCTATGCTCCTGCTGCTTTTCCTGCAGCTCAACCATACGCTGGAGCATGTTGGTTTGATCCTCCAGCAGCCTCAGCATCGAATCCTGCCTCCTCTCATCACGCTGCCACCACCTTTCAGCTTCAGCCCTCTTTTCAGCCAGCCACTTACTCTCTTCAGCCCGCCACCTCTTCTCCCGGTCATTTTGTGCTTTCCTGCACTCTGACATTGTCTGCCTCCACGCATTCATCTGTGCTCTGTAAGTGTGGGAGGACAGCATGAGCTCAGAGAACATTTCATCACGAGTGCGTTTTTTTCGTCTTCTAATCTTCGCTAGCCTCTGGGACGGAGAGGATCCTGTGATCCTTGAAACACATGCAGCTGGTGGAGAAAAACAAAAGGGACAGTGGTATTTAAAAAGACACATTTTATAGAACAATGGGTGCACTCTTTCATGGTAAACCTTGCTGTTAACACTATATACACAGCACATGTGCTTTTGTGACAAGGTCCCATTTTGCCTCCCCCCAGCACGTGGCTAGCCCATCCCTCCTCCCCGCGGCTAACAGCGGGGAACATTTCTGTTCAGCCACAGGCAAACAGCCCAGCAGGAACAGACACCTCTGAGTGTCCCCTTAAGAAAAGCACCCTATTTCAACCAGGTGACCATGAATGATATCACTCTCCTGAGGATAACACAGAGAGATAAAGAACGGATGTTGTTTGAATGCCAGCAAACATACACTGCAATGCTTTGTTCTACAATGATTCCCGAGTACGTGCTACTGGCCTGGAGTGGTAAAGCATCCTACCATGGTGGACGGAATAAGGCTGCCCTCCCCAGAAACCTTTTGCAAAGGCTTTGGGAGTGTATCTAGGAGAGCCACGAATGCCAGGGTAAATTAATCATTAAACATGCTTGCTTTTAAACCATGTATAGTATTTTAAAAGGTACACTCACCAGAGGTCACTTCTCCGCCTGGCGGGTCCGAGAGGCAGCCTTGGGTGGGTTCGGGGGGTACTGGCTCCAGGTCCAGGGTGAGAAACAGTTCCTGGCTGTCGGGAAAAATGGTTTCTCTGCTTGCTTGCTGTGAGATATCTACAGCCTCATCGTCATCATCTTCCTCGTCCCCAAAACCTGCTTCTGTGTTGCCTCCATCTCCACTGAAGGAGTCAAACAACACGGCTGGGGTAGTGGTAGCTGAACCCCCTAAAATGGCATGCAGCTCATTGCAGAAGCAGCATGTTTGGGGCTTGGACCCGGAGTGGCCATTCGCCTCTCTGGTTTTCTGGTAGGCTTGCCTTAGCTCCTTAAGTTTCACGCGGCACTGCTTCGGTCCCTGTTATGGCCTCTGTCCTTCATGCCCTGGGTGATTTTGACAAAGGTTTTGGCATTTCGAAAACTGGAACGGAGTTCTGATAGCACGGATTCCTCTCCCCATACAGCGATCAGATCCCGTACCTCCCGTTCGGTCCATGCTGGAGCTCTTTTGCGATTCTGGGACTCCATCATGGTCACCTCTGCTGATGAGCTCTGCATGGTCACCTGCAGCTTGCCACGCTGGCCAAACAGGAAATTGAAATTCACAAGTTCACGGGCCTTTTCCTGTCTACCTGGCCAGTGCATCTGAGTTGAGAGACCTGTCCAGAGCGGTCACAATGGAGCACTCTGGGATAGCTCCCGGAGGCCAATACCGTCTAATTGCATCCACAGTACCCCAAATTCGACCCAGCAAGCCCGATTTCAGCGCTAATCCCCTTGTCGGGGGTGGAGTAAGGAAATCGATTTTAAGAGCCCTTTAAGTCGAAAAAAAGGGCTTCGTCGTGTGGACGGGTGCAGAGTTAAAATCGATTTAACACTGCTAAATTCAACCTCAGCTCCTAGTGTATACCAGGGCTTTGGCGCAAATGCTCATCAGATTATACGTGAAATGAGTTTGCTAGACTCAATCTAATCAATAGCAGGCATTCACTCTGCAAGCATCGAATCTATTAAAAACACATACAAATAAATCGGAAGGCTAAATCCATCCATTCTTTTAATATCACACAGGAATTATACAATCCAGTATTACTGAAGAGCTAAACTCATTGGCAGTGATACTCAGACCTCAGTGGTTCGGGAAACAACTTAGGGATCAACATTGCCCAAAAGAGGCACAGTAGTGTTAATTTATTGTTTCATTTACTATGATACTATGTATTCATATTTAAACAGTATGACAGGAAATACTTAGTTTTTAACATTTTATTATATATATATAAATTCTCACAGCAAAATGGATGATCAAGTATTATTATTTTTGGTTAATAACATAGCTAAAGCATCCCAATTGGTTAATAATTAAATCACAGTGTTTTAATATCATGTACTGCAAAGAGCCATAGTAGACATTTTAAAGAGTCACTTGCAGCTTGTGAGCCTCGGTCTGAGTATCATTGATCTATGGTTTCAATGACACAACCTAGTTATGAAGGTCAGGTACAGACTGAACTGAATGAAATGTGAAAATAATAGGAATATTAAAATGAATTAAAATTAGATACCTGATATCCAGGTATTGATCTCACTGATTCCACCACAGCCAGGGACATCAGGTGCTGAATAAAAGGAATTCTCTGTCCCAGCTGGGAACACAAAGGAATGGAAACATGTAAAGTTGATAGAGCACATCCCACAGGACTGAGCCAGACATTTCCACCACGACCTGAAAAAAATCCACAACAGTGAATAAACAAACATGTAAGAAAAAGAAATTGATGGGGGGAGGTTTGTTTTGTGTTTACAAAGTTCATACTAGTTAACGTAGAAAGCAGCAGCATAAGAATTAGTTTTTCAAAAATAGCACCCACTTGAAAAATCTACACAGAGGGCTCTAAAACTGTTCCAGATTATTTCAAAGAAAAAACCAATACTTTAAAATTGAATGTAGTTTGTTAATGTGTGTTCAGGTAATCATGTTTATAGAAACTTCATAAAGAAATCAAAAGCATTGCACACGATATGTTCCCAAAAATTCCTTGGTATCTTTGTAGATCATATGTTTTTATGAACTACTTATGTTTGTTTTTAAATGAAAATGTACTTGTGAAACGTTCCTGGAGACTGAAGCCTTCTATCTATCCACAAAACAGACTCCATGCCCGTGGTTCTCAACCTATTTACCATTGTGGGCCACATTGTAGCATTCTGTGTGTTATATAGGTCGCATCCACACCAATATACATGCTCCCTGTGTGGCCATGAGGATGTCACATGAGCCACAGCTGTGTGCTGATTGGGCTGCAAGTGACCCATGGGCTGTAGGTTGAGAACTACTGCTCCATGCCAATTCAAGGCCCAGTCCTGCTGCACTGAAGTCAATGGGAGTTTTGGTTCTGGTTTGGTTCAGTGCCAACTGTGGGTGATGGCAGTTTGTGTGATACAGAAGACTTTTCAGTAGGAATTAAAACAATGCCACCAATTCATTCTATGTAAGCTACCAAACATCCATGAGATAACTACTTTTGGTCATTTCTAACTTGGGCTGGATTCAAATTAGTAAGAGTAAAAGGGGAAAAAACTGCTATCAACCCCCTGGGCTCTCCAAAAATATTTTTTCCTGTGTCTACAAATTAAGGCTGTCGATTAATCACAGTTAATTCACACGATTAACTCAAAAAAATTAACCATGATTAAAAAAAAATTGTGACTAATCTCAGTTTTAATTGCACTGTTAAACAGAATACCAATTGAAATTTATTAAATATTTGTGAATGTTTTTCTACATTTTCAAATATATTGATTTCAGTTACAACACACAAAGTGCACACTGCTCACTTTATATTATAATTTATTACAAATATTTGCACGGTAAAAATGATAAATTGAAATAGTATTTTTCAGTTCACCTCATACATGTACTATAGTGCAGTCTCTTGATCATGAAAGTGCAACTTACAAAAGTAGATTTTTTTTTTGTTACATAACTGCACTAAAACCAAAAAAGACAGTTACCTGTTCCGTAACTGGCGTTCTTCGAGATGTGTTGCTCATGTCCATTCCATATTAGGTGTGTGTACTTGCCACATGCACTGGTGCCAGAAGTTCTTCCCTCAGCAGTATCCTTGGGGGACCAACTCTGGCACCCTCTGGAGTGGCACCTGCATGATGCAGTATAAGGGGCACCGCTGACTCCCCCCACCTTCAGTTCCTTCTTGCTGTAAACTCTGACAGTGGAGAAGGAGGCCGGGTTGTGGAATGGACATGAGCAACACATCTAGAAGAAAGCCAGTTACAGAACAGGTAACTGTCTTTTCTTCTTCGAGTGCTTGCTCATGTCCATTCCACATTAGGTGACTCCCAAGCAGTACCATTGGAGGCGGGTAGGAGTTCACAGACATGTAGATTGCAACACAGCTCTGCCGAACCCAGCATCATCTCTGGCCTGCTGAGTGATGGCATAATGCGCCGTGAACATGTGAACAGAGGACCACATTGCAGCTCTTCAGATATCCTGGATGGGGACGTGCGCCAGGAAGACCTCCCAGGACACCTGAGCTCTAGTTGAGTGGGCTCTGACAATTGGTGGCGGTGGAACCCCCGCCAGGTCGTAACAGGTCCTTATGCAAGAGGTGATCCAATTGGAAATCCTCTGAGAGGACACCGGAAGGCCCTTCATCCAATCCGCTGTGGCAATGAAGAGCTGAGTTGATTTACCGAAAGGTTTGGTACGTTCCAGCTAAAAAGCCAAGACTCTCTGGACGTCCAGTGCATGAAGATGCCTCTCCTCACTGGTCTTGTGCGGTTTGGGACAGAACACTGGGAGGAAGATGTCCTGTTTCATATGGAAGGTAGACACCACCTTCGGCAGGAAGGCTGGGTGGGGCCACAGCAGAATCTTGTATTTGTAGAAGACTGTGTATTGCGGTTCTGAGATCAAGGTTTAATCTCAGAGACTCGTCTCGCTGATGTCATCAGCGCCGGGAAAGCGACCTTCCATGACAGGTGGGAAGGGTGCAGGAGCCCAGTGGCACAAAGGGCAGGCCCGTGAGCCTAGAAAGGACCAAGTTAAGATCCTATTGCAGGACAGGGGCCTGTACCTGCAGGAAGAGTCTCTTGAGACTGCTCAAGAATCTGAACGTTATGTCATGAGAAAACACCGTAAGGCCCTGGATCGTCAGGTGAAAAGTGGAGATGGCCACGAGATGCACTCTAATGGAAGAGTGTGCCAGGCCTGGGTTCCTCAAATGAAGCAAGTAGTTTAAGACAGATTGTATGGAAGAATGTGAGGGAGAGATGCCATGCTCGGACACCCAGCAGGAAAACTTGTCCATTTGGCCAGATAGGTCAGTCTGATTGAGGGCTTCCTACTTCCCAGGAGGACTTGTTGGACTCCTTCCAAACAGGTCCACTCCTCTGGGTTCAGCCACACAGCATACATGCCGAGAGGTGGAGGGACGCGAGGTTGGGGTATAAGAGCCGACCATGGTCCTGTGACAGCAAGTCCACTAGGACGGGCAGGAGGCCAGGGAGGGGCCACTGTCAGGTTCATGAGTGTGCCGAATCAGGGCTGGCAAGGCCACGCTGGGGTGATCAAGAGAGCCAGAGCACAGGTTCTCGTGATCTTTGCCAGGACCTTGCTGATGAGTGGAATCAGAGGGAATGTGTACATCAGGCTCCCCGACCATGACAGGAGGAAGGCATTGGAGAAGGAGTCCTTGCCCAGACCAAAACCGATGACATTTTCTGTTTTGCCTGGTGGCGAACTGGTCCACCTAGGGAGTTCCCCACCTCTGGAAGATGGTGTAGGTTACCTCCCGGTGGAGCGACCACTTGTGGTGAGAGGAGAAGGCCCTGCTGAGGTGATCAGCTAACGTGTTCTTGACGCCAGGGAGGCGACAAGGCTCCCAGTGCATCTTTTGATTGATGCAGAAGTTGCAGAGACGGAGCGCCTCCTGACAGAGAGCCGACGAGCACACTCCTCCTTGCCTGTTGATGTAAAACACTGAGGCTGTCAGAACTCTCACTACCTTGCCCGACAGGTGAGGTAGGAAGACCCCGCATGCCAAGCAGACTGCTCTGAGTTCTTTGAAGTTTATGTGTAGCGTCATCTCCTCTGGGGACCACATACCCTGGGTCTGGAGATCTCTTGAGGTGTGCACCCCGGCCGAGGTCTGAGGCATCCGACACCAACTCGGACTGAAGGGGGTTGTCGAACAGAACTCCCTCTAGAACCTTCTCACGATCGGTCCACCAACGCAGTGAGGTGAGTATTACTGGGGCGGGGGGGTATGGTAACGATCTTTTCCAGGCGATCCCTGGACTGGGAATGGACCATAGCCAGCCATTGCTGCAGGGCCTGCATCTGGAGCCTGGCATGGTGGACAATGTATGTGCAAGCTGCAATGTGGCCCAGCAGATGCAAGCAAAAACTAGCCCTAGTGAGGGGGAACGCAGAGACTTCCGCGATGAGGTCCGCCAATGTCTGGAACCTTTGTAGTGGCAGGAATGCTCTGGCGCAGGACAAGTCAAGCTCCGCTCCAATGAACTCTATCCTTTGCACTGGAACTAACCTTGACTTTTTGTCATTCATCATTAGGCCCAGGAAGTGGCACATGGCCCGCAACACTGCAACATCCTTTTGGACTTGAGACCTGGAGCTGCCTTTGATCAGCCAGCCGTCGAGGTACTGGTAGATCTGGATACCCCAGCACTGAGGTAAGCCACCACCACTGACATGCACTTGGTGAGCACCCTCAGTGCTGTTGCTAGGCCAAACGGGAGGACTGTAAATTGGTAGTGGCCAGGTCCCACCATAAACCAGAGGAAGCATCTGTGTCCTTGAAAGATCTCTATGTGGAAGTATGCACCCGTCAAGTCGAGGGCGGCATACCAGTCTCCTGGATCCAGAGAGGGGAGGATAGAGGCCAGGGAGACCAAGTGGAACTTCAGCTTCTTTAGGTACTTGTTACCTAAAGGTCTCGCAGATCCAGAATGGGCTGTAGACCGCCCTTGGCCTTTGGAATTAAAAAGTACCAGGAATAGAACCTCTTGTTCCTGTATTCAAGAGGAACCTCCTCCACCGCACCCAGCTGCAGTAACCCTTGAACCTCCTGCATGAGGAGACTCTGAAGAGCAACAGGGAAGGAGCCTTGGGGTGGTGGTGGTAGAAACTGGGCGGTATAGCCCTGTGTTCAGAACCCAGTGGTCCGAGGTTATAGTGGTCCATGCAGGAAGGAAAAAGAAAAGGCAGATGGAACAAACAGAAGATGGATCCAGGGAATAGTCTGGTAGGTCGCCCTCAGGCACACCCTCAAAACAGTTGCTTGACCCCCTGCTTGTTTCTGAGCAGAGGGTGGCTCAGGCGGCGTTTGTAGCCCTTGGCCTTCCTGTGAAGCAGGTCCTGCTGAGGCTGGCTCAGTTTGAACCACGTACATGCCAGGCCTGGGACGTAAAGTCCCAGAGTTTTTGGGGTGGTTCGGGAGTCCTTTAAACTGAGCAGCTTGCTGTCTGTCTTCTCTGCAAACAGGGCCTGGCCATTGAAGGGAAGGTCCTGCATAGACTGCTGAGCCTCAGTGGACAAGCCCGAGAGGAGCAGCCAGGAAGCTCGCCACATGGAAATGGCGGAGGCCATGTTGCAGGCGGCAGAATCTGCCACATCCGAAGCTGCCTAGAGGGCTACTCTGGCCACAGCTGTGCCCTCCTTGAGGATCACACAGAATTCCTTCCTGGACCTTTCGAGAAGTGAAGCCTCGAAGTTGGCCACGGCCTGCAACATGTTGTAATCATAGCGGCCAAGGAGGGCCTGGAGGGCCACTCTGGCCACAGCTGTGCCGTCCTCGAGGATCGCCCAGAATTCCTTCCTGGACTCTTTGGGAAGCAAAGCCTCGAAGTTGGCCATGGCCTGCAACATGTTGTAATCACAGTGGCCAAGGCGGGCCTGGTGATTGGCCACTCTCAACTGCAGGCTGGAAGACAAATAAACTTTTCGTGCAAAGAGATCCAGCCTCCTTGAGTCTGTTTTTGGGGGTAGCCCCGAGTTGACCTTGCCTCTCCCTGTGGTTAACTGCCTCTACCACCAGGGTATTTGGAGCCGGGTGGGAATATAAGTATTCATGCCCCTTGATTGGCACAAAGTACTTGCACTTGGCCCTTTTAGAGATGGGGGGCAAGGAGAAGGGAGTCTGCCACAGGGCAGTGGTAATCTTCGATACCCCTTCATGAAGGGGTAAAGCCACCATGGCAGGTGTTGAGGAGCAAAGGACATCAAATACAGAGACCGAAGGCTCCTCCAATTCCTTGGCCTGAAGCCCCAGGTTAGAAGCAAGCCTCTTCAATAGATCCTGGTGCGCCTTAGCATCATCCTAAGGAACTGAGTTAGGGGGCTCCATGATCTCATCCTCACCATATGAGGCTGCCGGTATCGCAGGACCCTCAACATCTATTGGTTGTTCAGCAGGCTGCTTCCCTGGGTCCTCCTGGACCTGTGAGGTCCTTCCCCCATAAGTCTCGGGAACTGGAGGGGGTTGGAATGTTGAGGCCGCTGACCTGTCTGAGGTGCCCGGCACAGAGTGCACAGCCTGGGAAGGCTGGGTGAACCCCCAAAGGTACCATGGGTACCATGGCGCCGGCCACTGCGCTTGGGACCATGGGATAGGTTTTGGTGCTGATGATGTAGGCGGCAGTGCAAGTATTGTAGGGTGTCCCACAGTGACGGAACCCTGCTTATCTGACTGGTGCTGGTCACTGCGCCTGAAGGTAGACCTGTCCGATTGAGATGAAGATCTTGGTCTGGGCTTTGGGGACTGACAGCGTTTGGCGGATTGGCATTGGAAGCCTAGCAATCTACGCTTTATGCTACCCAACTGGTACCAGATGTAAAGTGGGACCGGGAGCTATCACGCACCGGTTGCTGGGAGGATCTTCCCAAATAGGGCGATCGCCATCTTGAAGACTGATGACGATGGGCTGGTGACCAGTGGCTTTGATCCCCCGAAATCCCAGGATCTGTACCAAGCTCTTGGCGATGTGAGGGGTCAGTCTCAGTGCCTCTGCATGCCTCAGTGGGTCTGTGCCAGGCTACAGGTTGAGGTACGCCTCGAATCCTGCTGTTGGTACCCAAGGTCTGGGGACCAAAGATGGCTCCGCTGAGCCTGCGCCTCTAGCTCTGAGGCGTCACAGCTTTGGGCAGGGGAGCGGTGGTGGGACATCCCACGTGATGGGGAACTGTGCCTCTGAGGCGGGACATATGTAGAGGCCCTATGGCGGGTTTACCCCGAGATCAGAGTACCACTGGAGCCGGTGTGGGTGGCAACGCAAGTATCAGGATCTCCTGAGCTGCCTGCAAGGCTTCAGGTGTCGACAGCACCTGAAGCTGACGGAGGCCTGAACTGCTATCCGGAGTCGCAGGCAGGGCATGGGATGGGCTGCACCGCTCAACTTGAGCTGGGGCCCGACTTCCCTAAGGGGGTATTGAGCTGTCCGGCGCGGGTCTTGGCTCGTCCCCAGCCCTCTCCTTTCCCTTTCAGGCGATTATCCCGCTCCTTTTTCATCCTGGGTTTGAAGGATTTAGGGCATCTAGCATGTAAATATCTTGCGATGCCAGCTAGAATGTGCCATGGGAATGCCTGTTTTCACTTTCAGGTGACATTGTGAACAAGAAGCAGGCAGCATTATCTTCTGCAAATGTAAACAAACTTGTTTGTCTGAGCGATTGGCTGAATAAGAAATAGGACTTAGTGGACTTGTAGGCTCTGAAGTTTTACATTCTTTTATTTTTGAATGCAGTTATATTTTTGTACCTAAGTCTACATTTGTAAGTTCCACTTTCATGATAAAGGGATTGTACTTGTATTAGGTGAACTGAAAAAGACTATTTCTTTTGTTTTTTACAGTGCAAATATTTGTAATCCAAAATAAAAATAAAGTGAGCACTGTACACTTTGTATTCTGTGATGTAATTGAAATCAATATATTTGAAAATGTAGAAAGCATCCAAAAATATTTAAATAAATGGTATTCTATTATTTAACAGTGTGATTAATCGCAATTAACTTTTTAAGCGCTTGACAGCCCTACTATAAATGATCCACATAAACTACATTACTAACTAAATGCAATAAACTATCTTCTTTCTGTTAGTATTGCAAGAAAACCTACCTACCTTTCCCTTGTGTTTGTCGAACTGCAATGGCTATTAAATCCATTTCTTGAGGCAAATCGAACATCAACCTGCCAATTAAAGAAAAAGATTGTCAGCTAAAACAGTCAGCTTTGTTCATGAAAATCTACCATCAACATTTAAATAGAGGCTAATATTTTACATCAAATTAAAATCAGTTATTCATTTTCAGTTATAATTTATGATTAGGTGAAAAGGGCAATGGAAAATCCAAAAAGAGAAGCTAACTGAAAAATGATCAAGTGAAATAATACTGAATCTCTAATTCTGGAAAAAAGATATGACCATAGTTCATTTAAGGTGCTCTTTAAAACGCTGATGGCTGTATTTCTTCAGTATTTCTCAGGGAAGTACTTATTTCTTCTAACTTGTGTCACTATCTTCAATAAGTGACAAGTAGCGATTCCAGACATTTGTTTCTACTTAGAGCAAATTTTTGTTCATACTCTAGAATATAACAGCAGCAGTTTCTGATTATTTAGAAAACCAATATGGTGGCAATAAAGCAGTTTAAAAGATACACTATCCCTTGAGAACTAATTATGATTTAACTACAGTAAATAAATCTACACCTTCTGAGAACTCTAGAGAACACTGGTTTGTTTTAGGCTTGCGCTCTGCTGTTAAAATAGTTTAACTTAAAAGAATACTAACTTTCCTCTGGGAATATGTAGAAAGTACACTTGAACACCACCAAATGAGTCAACATTAATTTAAAAAAAAAATCTTACTATGAGAACTGTTTAAAACATATTTCAACACTATTATGATCCTTCTTCATTTCATTTTAAGTTTTGGGGAAGAGATACATTAAACAACAGACAAAAAAGATCCCCATGATGTTACCAGTGTTTGACTATACAAGATAAATCTAGTAAATAATTTATAGTCTGAAAAATCTCACTTTTAATGCAAATAAAGAATAGTTCTTTTAACTTAAAGCTGGTTTTGCCTTAGGCCAGAGGTGAGCAAACTACAGCCCGTGGGCCACATCCAGCCCGCGGAACCGTCCTGCCCGGGCCCCTGAGCTCCTAGCTGGGGAGGCTAGCCCCTGACCCCTCCCCCGCAGCCACACCACTGCACAGGGAGCGCTCTGGCCCGCCTCTCCTGCTGGGCAGCGCGGCTTGCGCCCGCCCACCTCCGAGGCTTTCCAATAAGCCTGTCCTGCCGCTCTAAGTGGCATGATAAAGGGGCGGGGACAGGGAGCAGTTGGATGAGGTGGAGGTTCTCGGGAGGTGGGGGAGGTCAGGGGATGGGGAGGTTGGATAGGCATGGGAGTCCTGGGGGGCCTGTCGGGGGCAGGGTGTGGATAGGGATTGGTGCAGTCAGGGGACAGGGAGCCTGGGGGGGAGAGGCGGGAGGGTTGGATGGGTTAGGGGCTCTGAGGGGGCAGTCACTGGGCAGAAAGTGGGAGGGGGCCAGGCTGTTTGGGGAGGCACAGCCTTCCCTACCCGGCCCTTCATACTGTTTCGCAACCCCGATATGGTCCTAGGGCCAAAAAGTTTGCTCACCCCTGCCTTAGGCACTAATCAGACAAGAGTAAGTGGCATGCAAAATTATTTCTTAGAAATTTAGGAAGTAGATTCAAGGACTTCAACATCCTCCTGTAACCAAGATAATGACGCTGTATAGTCGGAACTAGTAAGTACAAGTGCACTCTCTGCTGCCTACTGGGAATGAAAGTTATGGCAGATAGCTACTGAAGGAGCTATTCATCTGCTCCCCACCCTTTTTTTAAAAAAAATTTGAAATGTGGTATTTTATTAACGGCTGTGGCTAGATAAGAGAGAAAACAGAGCAAAAATACAGAAAAGTAACCACTTCCTGAAATCTCAGAACATCTCTGCATAATGATTCAATTGCTCACACGACTATCAAAGGAGTAGGTTATTCTAAGGGCGAAAGAGAAGTTTGGACTATAAAACACTTTACTGATTAGAAATACTTGAACCACAGCTGACTGAAGATTTAACAGGTCCAAAGGATGTTTTTTTCACATTATTGCAGGAATCAATGTGAAAAATTTTCAAACAACACTAGCCAGAAGATATCTTTGCCAGTCCCACTTCCATTTCACATGAAATACAGCTTGAAAATTGTTTCTCTTGGACATGACAAATTGCTTATTGAGACTATGATTGCATATCTATGGTCAACCTTTTGTATTGAAGTATACCTTTCCTTGTGTTGGGAGCCAGTAGCAGAGCCAGAGAGGTTCTTTGTACTCATTAACATCACTTCAACTACGATACTGAATTCATGGTACTCCAACAAGGACATTAATTTAAATTTGGAAATGGGGCTAAGGACAGATTACAAATTTTACTGAAACAAACTTGCCTGTCACCTCTCTGTTCATATGATCTAGGTTCTTTAATTATCAGGCAAACAATAGATAGTCATGTTACAAAAAATCAGGCAAACAATAGATAGATTACAAAAAATGGTAAAAAAATCAGGGTAGGAAAAAAGTTAGTTCTGAAACCAAACACAGACCTCTAAAACAAAGAGATATGATTAAGGGAACATATGCATGGAGCTGTTAGAGGTTTGGCAGCAGTTAACAAGACAGAGTTTGAGAACAGTGAGATTGTACTGTTTAGGCCAAGAGGAAATTCTGTAAGGAGGTACACAACATGGGGAAGTTCCTAATACCTAGGCTGAGACAACTGGAGGCAGACAGATTTATTTCTGCTATCTGAGATAGCCCTGGAGGCATTGCCACACAGCTCCATGGCAATAATAAAGTGCTTCTGAACTTAATAAATTGTGTTGCTTTTTTGGGGGTGGACAGGGTTGTTTCGATTCTGGAAAAGAAAAGTTGTTTGAATTTTCTTTACTAGAAAAAAGCAATTGTAGATGGATTTTACATTCTTAGCCATGGATGTTCCCACTGAAGAAATAAATGATTATATTTGTGACAGATTAGATTGAAGGAGGAAAATGGGGTTCATCAATGGCATAATGTAATATGATGAAGTCATCTCATACATTCATTTCCTCTTATTTCACTTCCCCCTTCATTTCAATGTTTTTATAAAGTTCTGTGTTTCTCACTGTTGCACAATGAATTAAGACAGAAGACCTCACTGATGAATCCAGAAGATTGACCCATTCAAACTAAATATACTCAACAGGTAGGGACAAAGAAAAGCATTTATGTGATTCTGGAAAAAAATGCTTTAATTTCATTTCAAACTTTCTTCACCATGACAAATTTTTTGCGGTACCTGACAAACTGTGAACTGGGCACTTCTGGTGTTTAAAACAATTGAAATATTAAATGGTAATACACTAGCACATTAATAATTTTCCACAACATAGACTATAAATTATGTTGTCAAAAGTAGTAAACAATACTTAAATGGTTCATACAAATATCAGGGCCAAAGAACCATCAGTCCCCACAGCTAGCCAATGTAATGGCTTTTGTGTATATAGCAACATAAAATGGGAATTCAAACCACAAAAACTACGTTTGAATAATATTAACAGCCTGACAACTATACATTTCATTGATGTTGTGGGTTTAAAGCTGAAAGTCTCATTAATGCACCCTGCTGTGTTACAGTATTGCAGAGGTATTACAAAAGGAAACATTACATTCCAGATGTTGAAATACCTGGGCATAGGTTAGAGACAGACTTCTACCCTTAACTCTGAATGTCTTTGTCCTGGGTGGGAAAAGGGAGGGATTATAAAAAAAAAAAAAATCACATCCTTCAAGTTGCTTGATTATAGTTACTATGATTTCATTTACAGAGAATGCTATAAAATTGGAAACACTTAGTATTAGAAGATAATATTTTTTAGTCAAACTGAAAAAAAGGATACGCCACTTGATCCAAGTCTCCTATGATATTTCAGACAAGGAAGTCACCTGCCAACTCTCTGTTCCATTTTTATTACTTAACCGTAGCCATAGGCCATTATATCCTTCGCAGTGTACATATTGACATGTTTTATATATTTCATTATACTGCCTGATATCTGATGTGTAATCCATCATCTTAATTTAGGTAATGGCAGTTTGAGCTGGATACTTTTCTAAAGAATAAACCGTACTGAAACAAAGCTTTCCTCTTGACAGAGTTTAAAATATTTTCAATAGCTACAAAGGTCCATAGGACCATATCAAAGAAGATAAGTCAATCAAGGATCCAATGCACTGACACAGAAATGCTCAGACGTTACTACATAATGCCATTTATGGTTTTATAATTCAGGCTTTCCCCAGGAGCATCTGGGATGAAAAGTTGTCAGATCTTAAAATGCATTACTGAAAAGACTGTTACTTCTAAATGACAGTTCTATTGACATTTCCATTCCAATTCGTAGTTCTTACATTTATAAAAATACCCTTCGTAGCAGAATTCCGCATAACATCATTTTGTTGCACGCTAACAAGTCCTAAAACAAATTTTAGGGAGGGATGGTTTTGCCCCTTTCAAAGAATAAAATAGTAAATTATTCACCAGGTAAGTAAGTTGTTTGAGCACGTACACAATTCAACTAAGTTTAAAAAAACTTACTCTCTTCCCCAATAAATCTACATTAAAGCTAGCTATGGGTCTAGTTTAAATCCCACATAAGTCAGGAAATGCAGACTCAAGGCTAACATGTATCAAATCATTCAGTCTCTTTGCTAAAAATCCACGCTGTTTTCTCTTATGTACTGCCTACCATTCACAATAGGCTAAAGAACTCTTTACCCCATTCCCAAGTTGTTATGCATTGTAGGTTTTCTACTTGTTTTTCTAACTAAACTCAAAATATACTAATAAAATGATGAGTTTATCTATGGGAACACAAAAGCATCTTTGTGAGCAGAACAGTTTTCAAGTTAACAACTCCTTCCACTGGAAAAAAAAGCTCATCTAACAATATATTCCACTAGATTTTCTGAACTTACCATTACCCTTTATTTTCACAGTGTAATTACACAGAAAAGGCCTCTAATCCCAGCTACTTTTCGAGAGGCATCTATTTCTACACAGTGTAGACTACCTGAAATTGTTGATTCTTTAGTGCAGTACTTGCAACACAATCA